ATATTAAAAAATATTGTATTAAAAAAATTAAAAATAAAATACTTTGACACATCAGATCTAAAATTAAACAGTATAACTCTTGATAAAAAAAATAGAGGGCTGGATGGTAGGACGAACATAGAACTTCTAGGACGTAGGGAACATAGAAAGCTTTCCCCACACAAGCTCAAGTCTATCGCATCTGTGAGGATATGTTTGATTATGATGTGATTTTGATGGCTGATTATGGTGGGTAGTTTGATTTTGACCTAATAGATAGTGAAAACTGAAAACAATGGGGATTTCGTGTAAGGTAGATCTGGAATTTGAGGGTTTAGTGTTTTTTTACTGTGAATTTCTGTAAATTTTGTTGGGTTTTCTCTGTAATTTTGCTTGATCATGATATCGCTGGAAAAGAAGTTTTTTTTTTGTTGGGTTTTTGTGATAAAGCTGTAAATTTTTGTTGGGTTTCTTTCGGCATTTGTGTGGTAATTTTTTTATTCACTTTTCCTTCTAAGTATTTTTTTTGTGATTTTCTATTGTTTATCTTTTATGGTTAATTCAAGTCTGATACATGCCCTCGTACATAATGACGAGCTTGAACACAGTTACATACAAACAAAACTTCAATAAAACACACAGAAATATGGAAAGCAAAACTTCAATAAAACACACAGAAATATGGAAAGCAAAACTTCAATAAAACATCCAGAAATATGGAAATAGATGGGATCTAAGCAAGCAACATAGTATCTATGTAAACAATACTCTTCAATGACCCTTTCTTGGCAAACACTTAGTCTCCAATCCAAACGATAACCTGCAATTAAGAGAGAGATAAAAAGTCTCAGTTTTTCCCCTTTTTAATATTTTTCTCTGTTTTTTCTTTATTTTCGACTTATATGATATGGGTCTTTGCCAATGGTTTAGGTGTTTTTTGGTTACAGGGTCAGAACCTTAGTTTCTTTTTGGTGATACAGGGTCAGAACCTTAGTTTCTGAGTCTTTATTGGGATGCTGTCCATTCCATTATTCTTCAAGAGCAATTATAATGTATCATTTTGATGATATGGGACCTGGAGTTGAGTCTGTGTTTTTTGAGGGTTCATTTTGAAGGTTTTATTTTGGCCTTCGGTTCATCATTTTTGCACTTCGGGTACTGTGGGATCTAGAAATTCGTCATTGTAAGGGTTTTGTAGAAATCGGTGATTGGCCATTGTTGATCTAGAACAGTAACTTCGTATGCTTTTTGGTTCTTTATGATTTGAATTTTTTCCTTTGTGGTTTGGTGGTTTTCTAAATGGGTGTTTATCTGTTGTTCGTCGGTGGTGAATATCTTTGTAAATCTTTTGTTGGTGTTCAGATTTAGAAAATAGTTGAGAGTTGGGTATCCACCTCTCAGAGTTTTATAATTCTACCTATTTACTGAATATCTCTGTAAATTATGCTAGTTTGAAGTTTAAATGGTGAATATTTTTGTGATTATATCAATTAGGGAGAAAAAGCTGGCCTTTTTCTCATGCACCAACTCTAGGTTTTTGCATGCATTTTAAGATCACTCAAATGAGAAAACAATCAAGGGCTGTAAATTCCATGGACAAATTAAAAAAAAAACTAGAAAAATTCCCTAGTCTGGGTGATAAGGGTGGCAGGGTGCGACATCGTGATTACTTGAGTTTCATTCCTACCAAGATCTCAAGCTAACATTCAGAAAACTGATTCATTGATTAGTGTTAACCGAGGTCGTCAAATTGGATCAAGGACTTTTCAGCAGGAGACAGCATGACACCAACTTCGAATGGTGGAGATGAACAGGGATGGGGGAGCTTGGTGAGAGAAGTTCTGATCGAGATCTTCCAAAGATTGGATTGGCAAGACAGGCTTTTAGCTGTTCCCTTAGTATGCAAATGGTGGCATGCAGCTTTTTGTGATCCCTTGGGCTGGAGATGCATTGATCTTCGCAAATGGGTGGTGACAAAAACTTTCGATGATGGATGTTCGTCCTTGGTTCACCCCCCCATAGCTGAGAAGCTTCTGCCACAACTCCTAAAACTTGCAACTAATCATGTCACCACCATTTGTTTCCCTCCAGGGAATACCACTGACGGAGACCATCTCTATGTTGCTGATAGGTGAGCCATGTTTTTCTATGTTGCTGATAGGTGAGCCATGTTTTGCTCTTTTTGGGCTTGTGTTTTCATTAAGATGGTTTTGTTCCGTGTTTCAAAAGACAGATTGGGGACCCAGCTCGGTCCCTCTCTGTACCAATCCAGATATGTGGTTCCCCATTTGGCTCCCTGAATTTAGTTGAGCTGGCACAAAACTGTGAAAAATCATAAATAAATTCCAAAACTCATACAAATTTGATGGTCACCATTGGTTTTGAGCAAAAACAACCTCAAAATTCAAGAACATCCTCCGTAGAAACCAAAAAGAGATAATATTTGCTAACGATGGTTAAAGTTTGATGCTCAAAATCCTCTATACAATTTTAGAGAAAAAGAGGGGAGATTCTGCTATTTCTAATCACCTTTTTAAAGCAAAAAATTTGAATAGAAGTGCTAAAGCAACAGTTTTGTAGAACTATAACCTTTAGAAATGATATTATTTTGAAATAATTATAAGTTATTCTTCTATTCAAATGTACTGACATGATCTTCGTGATCTTTTGATCACATAATATGTCAGTTAGCAAGAAATGGGTGTATCTTGTTAACTTAAGAAAGAGGAAACTCCTTATTGGGGTTTATTTATATTGTTAAAAAAGAGAGGCAGAAATCTGTGTTTAACAGGGAGAATTGCCTGAGTCCCTAAGGACTTGAGTGATTCGGTCTACTCTGGGCAGTGAACTAGGCAAGTCTATGAAAACAGGTACAAGTCCCCATTTCATAGAGAATTCGGACTAGATACCACCAATCCCAGTCCGACTAGAGTGATTCTAAGCCAAATTGGCAATTTTTTAAACATTGGTTTTGTTCATATGGGCGCTCTCTTATATTTTTGTATAAGCATTCATTTGCTTTATTCAAGTGCCAAGAACTGAAATCCAACTCCATACCAAATATCAATACTTATTCACTGGAAGGCTGTGAGCAATATGGAAGCACTAGAAGCTCTACACTTCACTGATAACACTAACATATTTTATACTAAGGAAGAGAAAGCTTTGAATGTTAAGAGTGCTCTGATTGGGATTGGGGCTCGCTGAAGAGGTTGCAGGAGCTCAGTTTTGACTGGTCGGAGGAGGCAGCCTACGACATTGCACAGAGCTTCCCCAACCTTAAGATCTTAGTTCTTGAGTATGGCTATTTGACAAAGGAAGTGTTAGTGGTGATTCTGAAGGATTGTCATGGACTCAAGAGACTGTATGTTGTTTCAGTACGGGGCATTGACGTGGACGACGAGGTAGAGCAATTGGCCTCTCATCTTGAAGATTTTAGTCGGTTCCACCAAACGATTCTCGCGATGCTAATTATGGTTCAGATAACGATAGGTCACTATAATCGCTGTTTGATGTGTATTTTCTGGTTTATCTGTTTGGTCTCTCTCTCATGTGTGTGCATCCATAGCAGAATGTACTCTAGTCTTGGGCAAAACACCTAGTCAATTTTAATCTTAAATTTGGGATCTACTTTAGAATCATATGAGTATTATGAAAAGATAGTAGGATTTTGAGTTTCGAAACATTTACCTGTGACATCCATTAACGGAATAGTATCTATTCAACCTTAGGACGTTATTCTTCTCAGGTACAAATGCAAGGTTTTTTTTTTATTTGAGATTGGTCATTAGATTGAGGAGTTTACGTTTCCCAAATTTGGGGTCCTAAAAATCTTGTGCTAAGGTTTTGCCCAAAGGACCGAAGGGATGATACGCTTCCTCAGATTTTAGCATGACTAAAATACAAATGATAAACTTTAACCAAGTTACCCTTGTGACAGCTTTCCTTTGTTTTGCATACCCCCCCCCCCCCCGTCTAGTTGTGAGCCCGTGGTTAAAGATTGTGTTATTGTGAAATGGGCAAGCTTTCTATGCTTCCCCTACAGCATAGAAGTTCTATCCTCCCTTTTATCCAACCCTCCATTGTGAATGGATTGATGAGATTGTCCAATCACAATGTCACGTCTCTATATTATTTTATTTTTTTTAAATTTTTTTTTTATAAACTATTTTTTACATCAAATTTTGGACGTCCATTTTTATATTAAACTCACAATAGCGAAAAATATATATAAAAAAATATTTTCAATAAAATAACCAAATTACTCTTAAAAGTTTCAAGGGGTATTTTGGTTATTATATTTTATCCAAAAAGTGTTTTTAATATTTTTTTTTGTAGGTGCGCCCCAATGAGAAGATGACATGTATCAAATTTCATATTTATACAATTTGTATAAGAAAAGACTAAAAATAAAATACTTTGAGACGTCGGATCTAAGATCAAATGGTGAGTGGCTCTTTTGATAAAAAATTGGATGGCTGGATGGTAGGTGGAGGATAAAATAGCTAGAATGGAGTTCTCAAATTTGAGTTGGTCGTGTTCCAGTTTTGTTTTTAATAGTCTGATGTATAGATGCTCAATTTTCCAAATTGATAAGAATTTCCCACATGTGAAATTACTTTTTTCAATAATCAATAAAATTTTAGTTGCCCATAAAAAGTAAAAGTCAGCAATAACTCTCGACACTCTCCATCAGCTGTGTCATCTCTAAGTGACAACAATGGTCTTTCATTGGGGATCAAAAGTGCTAAGGATGTCTCCAACAATGGATTCACCCTAAACAAATTTGTAATGTTTTATGTGATTGTTGTTTGGTCCCGCATGCCCACATAAACCTAGGGTGTGTAGCTTTTTTTTTTTTTGGTTGAGCTAGTGGGGAGAGAGGCCCCGCCTTTGGTAGGAATTGAGCGTCAGTTTTTGAGGCGTAAGAAAAACTCAAAGCTTCATAAATTGTTTTTTTTTTTTTGTAAATATTCATCTAGTGATTTTTGGACAAGTATGTAATGTTTTATGTGATTGTTGTTTGGTCCCGCATGCTCACGTAAAACCTAGGGTGTCTAGCTTTTTATTTTTGTGACATAGTGGGGAGAGAGCCCCTGCTTTTGGTACTAATTGAGAGTAAGACATAGCATTGTAGATCGTCAAGCGCTAATCAATTAAGCTCGAGCTCTTTTTTTAGAGCGTCCAACTTAGTTGTTGGACTATGCAAATTGCAGCATGTCCCTACAATCTCCAATATCCAACACATGAGTGGGATGGTGTGGGATTTATATGGGTGCAGCCTGCCCAGATAGAGGGCCGATGGACCTAGACCCGACCAAGTTTCGAGGGGGATAGACCCGATCTGGGTTTGGGTGTGGGTCCAAAAATTGAACCCAACAGGTTGAGTCCGGGTTTGATTTTAGGTCCAGATCCAAATTATGTCTTCGGGTCCTCGATTATTTTAGAAAATATATCAAAATACACCTAAAATATTAATTATTTAAATTTTAATTTAAAATTACTATTGTAACTCATGATTAATATGGTTAAGTAAGTTCTTGAAATTTTCATATTGAGTCACTCGGTAATGCGCTTGGGTCGTGGTGGTAGCACCCCGCCGTTCAATCAAATCGCACGCAGAATCTCAGTCCAGCTAAAGAGCTCGACTCCTCGAGTTTCGAAAAAACCCGAACATGATAAGTCCTCAATGGAGCTTGAAACCTTCTTATCAAGTTTCTTACACTAGGAGCCTGCAAATTCATGGAGGTCTGAGTAAATTCATGGCCAAAGAAGCTCTGAAACCACAGGCCATAGCTGGAGATTTCAGTAAAATCGTCGACAAAGAAGCCATGAGACCTTCAAACGACGCCATTAAATGGTCTGGAAAAGTCCCTCATGTTTTGACAGTTGCAGGGTCCGATTCTGGTGCAGGAGCTGGGATTCAAGCTGATATCAAGGCCAGTGGAGCTCTTGGGGTTTACTGTTCTTCAGTGATAACTGCAGTTACTGCTCAGAACACAGTTGGAGTTCAGGTTCGTTAATCTCTCTCTTTCTATCTCTTTATTTTTTATTTTTAGTTTTATGACAGTGTTTTTCTCTGCATATATGTATATGTGGGTTTTTGGATTTTTATAAAGAAGGTTATCTTTTTTGTGTTTGCAAAGTTGTTTCTACGTGTAATTTATCCTTTTTTATGAATGAGATGTATACGGTTTGAAGAACCCAATTTTGATGATTATTTTCATTGGTATACTTTTTTTTTTTTTTTTTGAGTTCCTTTTTGGCTAATAATATTTTGTAGAGAACTTCTTTATCATTTTATTATATAGTGTCTTTCGGTGTTTTTGTTTTCTGTTGAGGTGATTAGCTTAGTCCTAATCACTTTCAAAGCTTTTAAGTTTTGATTAATGAGATGTATAAGTCAGAAAATACCTTGTCTTCAAGTGGAATCCCAATTTTGACATTTGTTTTTTGTTCTTAAGTATTTTAGTTTGTTATTGTTAATTTTGATATTTGAAAATTATTGGGCTCTAACTAATCTAAAAATTTATTTTTAATATACCATATATCATATATGGGAAATTAGTTGAGTATTTTTCTCCATTTTGTGATGAGATTTCACTATGCTTCATAATCCCAAATGCCAAATTTTGTAAATGGGATGGGTTACTAATTTTTTCCGAAAATGGGATTTTCTGGTATTTTAAAATCCCCATTTTGAGATTTAGATTTTCTTTCCCTTGGATTTTCGGGTTGAGCCGAGAAGAATAGTGTTTTCATTGCCTAGCCACTAATAAACTTAACTCTTGGGGTTTTTTGGTTTATTTATATAGTAAATCGAAACATGACTTCTTGTGTCAATCTTCACTTTTATTTTCATTTTACATTTACAAATCCTATTTTAGATATTTGCAAATAATTTTCTGCTTTTGAGTATTACCTGAGGTTGTAGAGGTGCGCATAGGTGGAATTGTGTATTTTTCTTTTCTTTTCTCTTTTCTTTCTTATCTTTTGCTTTCTTATGTAGGGTATCCATCCAGTGCCAGAGGAATTTGTTGCAGAGCAATTAAAGTCGGTACTCTCAGACATGCAGGTTGATGTGGTGAGCAGTCGACGAGATCCTATTGTCTTTTTATTTTATGTTTTTTGTGTTACTCGTCTATTTGTTATTTTCTTTTCTTGGACACATGTTGAACTCTCTTTATAATGTTCCCATGTTAGTGAAGCAATAATGATTAGTGATAATCGTAAAGACTATTGTGGACATGCATAAATTTAGAATGTAAAATATGGGGGTTAACCCAAGAATAATTTGATTAATGTTGCAAAACTCAAAAAGGATTTTATAATTCATGATAGGGATGTGACAAAAGCTTTCCGCTGGCTTCCAGCCCAACACAACCCTTCTCCTTCCTTATCCGGGCCTAGGACTGGTAATGGCAGAGTTTCCGCAAACCAGACCAATTCAATAAAAATCAGATATTGAGAAAAACAAAATTGTTAATGTAATTCATGAATCCTTTTTATAAATTTTATGGTTTTGATTTCTTTTCATCAGTTAAACCTATTTGATGATCGATCAAACCATTGGTGACCGGTTGGGTTCTGAAAACGTTGATCTAACTTTCACTCAAACCATATATTCCTATTTTTTTACTTCGTCAGGGACTCCAAATAGACAATCTTACCTATTAAGGCAACTGATTTATTACTCATTCTGACGTCCTCATTAGCATGGTGGCCTTTGCACTATCCCAGAGCACTGTGATTTATTCCTAGTGATTATCTACTCCTTTGCACATTAGAAACCACCATTTAACAGTCTACTGATGCTAACTTCCAAATAAAAAACATTTAGCAAATGTTAATTATTACATTGATAATCAGATTCAAAAAATTGTTGCATTGATAATCAGATGTGACGAAGAATAACGATTGATGTGTATACTGCAGAATTGGACCTTGAACTTTGACTAGCATATAAATGTTTTTAACAATATAGAGAGCTTGTATATGTGTCGACTGTTTCTCTTTTCTTTGATAAGGGAAGTTTTTACTAGCAAATATATTTTTAAGAGATGATTTTAGTAGAAAAGGACTGACTTTAGTTCTTTGGAGGATGCTCAGGTGAAGACTGGAATGCTCCCTTCTACAGGTGTAATCAAAGTTTTATGCCATAAACTTAAGCAGTTCCCCATTCGCGGTATGTGCTGATTACATGAATTACTAATTACAATCACTTGCTGTAACATTACAGTGTTTTTTAACCATGATCTGGTTTGTATTCTCAAAGGCAGCTTTAGTGGTTGATCCTGTCTTGGTGGCAACGAGTGGAGATGTTCTCTCTGGTCCTTCTACCCTTGATGCATTTCGGTAAGTTAATATTTGTTCCTTATGTTTTTCGTTATAAGTTTTAATTCTTCATGGGATGGACGTTGTAATTTTTTTACGTAGTAGTGTCTTCATTTTTGATAGTCAGCGACAATAAATAGACTTGAACTTTCTTCTTCCCTCAAGTCCTCTCCAACTATGCAGCATGCATACATGCGCATCCATTAGCAACTTCCCTAGCATATGTAGCCTGTGCTCCACAAAATATGATTTTAGCACTTTTCAAGAGTTTAACATTGAACTGATACTTCAGCCTTGGTTTGCATAGAGTAATTCCATCTATGTCTTGAAAAGAATCTCAAGGTGGAATAATAGAAAAATCTTGGTCCGGATGATATAGGAGCTGGACTCTAATCATCATAAGAACTTGATGGATGTTGGCCAATTTAAAAACTAGCTCGACCTGACTTATCATCTCACTAGAAATCAGTGGAGCAAAGTTAAGTAACAACAAGAAGATTTGCAGTATATTTAAAATTGATCATCCCAGAGTACAGTTACTCTCCACTATCGCTCGTTGAGTAGGGATTGTGCATTTCACAGCCATGTATCATAGAGTATTCACAGGTTGTGTATTATATACTTTCCCATACCCATTTTTCTAAGTCTATGCATCTACAAAGTTTAGTTATTATGTGACAGTTGGCAACAAGAGTTTAGTATGTGATATTAAATGTTATAGGCACTAAAGCAGTCTCCTCGACCATGAGCCCCTCAAGTGTAGCAACAATATTAGGAAAAATTGGCTTCTATAATATCGTAATTGTTATTAATCTGCTGATTATTCAGTTTTACATGCTCCACTATAACCATTGATGGGTTTGGTGATTCAGCTTTTGTTCCATTTATATATTATCCATGATCCCCATGTAAATTTTAACACGTAGAAGTAGAAAGACCACAAAGCATAATATATGACTCCTTTCATTTTGTGTAATTTGAAACATGCGCATGTATGTGCATTCTCTAATTTCTTGGAAAGGCCTCACGATTAAGCCTGAGTTACTGTTGTCCTTTCTTGAAGCCTAAGGGGGTTAACTCTGAAGACATCTAAACCAAGAGGCATAAATAATATTCAGGACTATTTGAACAAAAATGCTGCTTAATGACCTCCCCTAGTTTAACTATTTTGCTTTGACCAACCATTTTTTCTGTCCAGAAAAAGTTGCTCAAGATTAAGACTACCAAATTATGCTCGTTCATGTAAAAACCACACACCAATTAAATTATTATGAAATCTTCATATCTGGGGAAAATATAAAGACCATCAAACTTTTTTGGTATGATTTTATGAAGGGAAATTTATCAGATTACCCACGAGGGACGAACAATTCAACACCTTACCCGTATATTTAATTTAATTTCGAGATACCCTTAAGAAAATGTATGATCTTGACTTGGAATAGTTGTAAATGCGTAGAATCTTAAATAGTTCATCTATTATTGGTATTTTGATAATTTCCCTTTTTTGAATGAGTTCAACGGCATGCAGCATCTTCTTGGTAACTGTCTCTAGTGATGATGTTATGGAAGCTTACAGGAGGGACATTGAATTCTTGTGTTACTTTTCGTTCTTGTATGTGTGGATGGCCTCTAAGATCACCTTATTTCATATGTGCTTCCAGAGAGGAGCTTTTTCCAATGGCGGATATTGTGACTCCCAATGTGAGAGAGGCTTCAGTTTTACTTGGTGGTTTTGATATAAAGACGATAACTGATATGTGTTCTGCAGCAAAATCACTATATAGTCTCGGCCCCCGGTTAGTGTCTCTATTGTTGTTAGAACGCTTAATTAATTATTGCCTCCATAGTTCATTGCTCTTCTATCCTTCTCAACTGAAAAGTGTATTCTTATTTGTTGCAGAAATGTACTGGTGAAGGGTGGGGACCTCCCAGAATCATCTGATGCTGTTGATATATTTTTTGATGGTCTGTTGGCAACTTGGCATATTCACTGGTTTTGCTTTAAAAACAAAAGGTCCTATAAAAAAGAGTGTATTCATTGTTTTGAAAGTATACCCTCTCAAACAATCATTTCTTTGATAAATGCACAGATGTGCAATCATCATCTTGCCCATAATTCTGTTTACCTCCTCTCATATCAACTTTCATTAGTCATAGGCATTGGTTGGATGTAAATTGGTTTTGGGATGGTTTGGGAATAATTTGTTGATTGACTCTTGTAGGAGAGCATTGCCATGAGCTGCGTGGTGTTCGTGTCAGGACTCACAATACCCATGGAACTGGTTGCACTTTGGCATCATGCATAGCTGCAGAGTTAGCAAAAGGTTCTCCTATGCTGGGAGCTATTCAGGTGAACTCTTAGTTCATGATCATTTAAGTTTTTTTTTTTCGTTTACCAACTAAACTGTATTTTATTTATTTGATATTTTATTTGTTTTTGTTTTTCACAGAATTTCTTTTCGTTCATTACGTTTGATGGTTTGCCATTTCATACTAGTTGATATTCAGGATGTTCAGCAATCATAAACCTGAAAAGATAAAGAGTTTTCTTGATGGAGGGTGGGTTACCTTCTGGTGCTTTGTTTTCAAAAGATGGAACTAATTGTGGGCTTGTAGCAAAGAACATACCTAGTTGTTATGTGTCATTCTGTGTTTATTCTAAGGGCATGTTGCCTTGTTTAAAAGGGAGAAGAAATCATCCGTTCCATCTGTTTTTACTTGATGCTCCACTAATTTGCTTCTTTTGTGTTATTCTCATGTAATTGAATCAAATTGGTTTGCTTGGCATAGTTTTGGTTTCTCCGTATCCTTTACTTGTCCTTCTAGGTTCCCTGACAAAGAAGGTGGGTGAAACCAGGTGGCATTCCTCTGAACCACAACCAGTTGATCGAGCCTTTTCTATTTTTATTAAAAATCGTTTTGGTTATTGTGTAAATTTCTGCTCAAATATACTGGACTCCAGGATTATTATGAGAAACATATCAAATAAATTAAGAGCAGTCTGCGCTGGCACCAAGCTGGTCTGACCATGCTAACAATGGTGATAATCTTTTTTCTGTCCATTTTTAATAGCATTGTATTTCATTAAGCCTGCAAGCTTCCAGTGGATATTGAAGGAGATTCATTATCTTTTTCAAAATAAGCCAGTGACTTTCCAGCACATGCCAACATGGGAATTGAATGGCAGGCAGGACCCCTTTTTGGGACTGCCCTCCCAGTTGATGTCTCAGTTTGTCTGCTTCTATGTGAAGGAACTTGATGTAGCAGTTTTTCCTTACAGATAATGTATTCGTACACCAGTGACTAAAAGGGGGTTACATCAAGTCGCATTGAAGAAAACTGAGGGGACAGAAGAGAGAACACATACTTTGGGGGCATAGAAAGCACCCCCGATCAAAAAGGGATTTCCTGAACTCCCACATTGTTGATTTAGTTTGTCTTATCATTGGCTTCGGGAAGGATTAGGAAATCTATTCCCATTCCCATTCCCTATATAGGATTAGGAATGATATCCCTTTCCCTTGGGAAATAGGAATGAGATTCCCATCTCATGATTTTTCGTCCTTATTCTTGTGAACTACCCTTCCACTTGTCCATTCACTGTCCAATTGGCTCAATTAATGTATTTTCACTTTTTTCAAGTGTTGGGTGTGTTTCTTCTAGCATAAACGTGTGCCTGATAATTGGGTTCTTGATTATTGGCAACAATTTAAGCAAGGTACCTGAAGATAAAATTTCCTAGCCACAAGGATATATGAGTAAAGCTCTGTAGTCAGTAGTCATAAATTTTTTTCCTGATTTTTTGGCTTAATATTATTTGTCTGTTCTAACCAAGAGAAGTGTTCATAAATTTGACCGGTCATGGTATTTGCACAGGCGGCTAAGTGCTTTGTTGAGGAAGCTCTTGAACAGAGTAAGGATTTAGCCATTGGGAATGGTCCACAAGGCCCTTTTGATCACTTTTTCAAGCTCAGGAATCACTATGCTCGTCCATGTGGGACAAGGTTCAAGCCAAGGGATCTATTCTTGTATGCAGTTACAGATTCAGGAATGAATAAAAAGTGGGGGCGGTCCATTTCTGATGCTGTCAAAGCTGCTATAGAAGGAGGTGCCACCATCATTCAGTTGAGGTTAGTCATTGCAGGCATTTCTCTCTCTCCCCCTGTGTACACACACACTCGTGATTCTGGGGAAAGTTAAAGAGATAAAAAGTGTTCATAATGTCCTCAAGATCAGGCACCCAATGACTAACCTCATTCATTGACTCTTAAGTAACCTTACATTTGAGAAAACAAGCACAACGCTCCAGCCTTGTCATATATACTTTTGCATGTCAAATGTTCAAAGCGCCCACTGCTTCAAACAATGTGTGCCTCTGCACTGTTATCATGCTGCATGGATGCGCATACGCCATGTATTCATATGCTGTATGTGTGCAAATAATTCAACTGTCTTTTCATATTCTGATCTCCTTTGTCCACATGCTCCAAAAATATTACAATTATGTGTTCCTAAGATGACTATTGTTAACCGCCATTATCAATCTGATCAATTTTTGCATGAATTTTATGAGAGTTTATGCTAATGTATTGAAGATATCATAGGGCTTGTATACAATGCTACCGCTTGGTATCCTTGAGTACCACGTTTCCGCAACCATTTGATATCGACAAGGGAGAGTTGGATGACTGTAGTTACTCCGCTTGAAAAATTCATAAATAAGTATGACAAACTTTTGAGCCGAGTAATAAGACACCCCAACCATCCGTTTGTGACATCGGATTGGTTGGGGAGGTGCCAGCAAGCTGTATGAAAACCAAGTGTTAGAATGGAGTACTTTCGCATTTGCTTGTGCCCATTATTTTCCACTGGGAACTGAGCTTTTGACTCGGCAATCGACTAAGCCACACATTAACCTCGTGAATGCTGCATTAGCATGCAACATTTTGGGGAGTGAAGATTTTTCCATGAGTGAATCAGTTAAGACTCAGCCTAACTTTGATTCACTACATGTTTTTGCAAAGCCAACTTCGTAGAGACTTTTGACACAATGACTGATTTCGAAATCAAATCGCTTATTTAACATATATGCCACCCATCATCATTTTGATCATACTGTGATTGTCATTTGCAGGGAAAAGAACATTGAGACAAAGGTGTTTGTAGAGGCAGCTGAAGCCTCTTTGGAAATTTGTCGGTCTTATGGGGTTCCCCTACTTATAAACGATCGTGTAGATGTGGCATTGGCATGCGAAACCGATGGTGTACATGTGGGTCAATCAGACATGCCTGTCAGGACTGTACGCCAACTTCTTGGCCCTAACAAAATTATCGGGGTCTCTTGTAAAACCCCCGAACAAGCCCATCAAGCCTGGTTGGATGGAGCCAACTACATAGGGTGTGGAGGTGTGTTCCCTACTAATACGAAGAAAAATAATCCCACTATTGGTCTGGATGGCCTGAAAAACATATTTCAAAGCTCTCTATTGCCTGGGGTAGCCATTGGTGGAATCGGGGTGGAAAACGCACATATGATCGTGGAAATGGGGCTCCCTAATTTAAAGGGTGTCGCTGTTGTGTCTGCCCTCTTTGATAGGCTGGATATATCAAGTGAGACCCGACGACTACTCGGAGTGTTGGAGACGACAAGAATCCCAGAGGAGAAGAGGTTGGAGGCTTCTGAGTAATGTTTTGCTGGTTTAGGTAGTTCATAGAAGCATTGCTGTGTTATTTTGTTCTGGAATAAATTGGGAGATAGAGAGAGATCTGATGGGCTCTGCTGGTTATTTATATTGAATGCAATGTGTGGGGTACCCATGCGGCCTTCACTAGTAATTTTACACCCAACCTCTGTTCATTGAGAAGCCACAACCCCTGTAGCAAGTCCCTCAACTCCGGCTAATTAGCATACACATTCCACTAAGGACCTGAAAATGTGAGGACCACATTTCCCCTATGGTCTCTAATCAAGCCTCCTACCCATGTTAGCATGGATTACCCATCAAACTGCCATCAAGGTTGAGCATCCTTGAGGGGAGCAACCACACTGGTCTATGATGGTTTACTCCCATATTCACAGCAATATTAGGATCCACAATAGGGAAATCATCACAAATATACTTTAATTTTCGTTTATTTAGAAAAAAAAAAGACCCAACTTGTATAAATTTTGTTCACACTTTTTTTTTTTTTTTCAATTTTGGTCGTTTTGTTATCAAAATAACTTTCACGATAGTCATATTACCATAATAATTTACCATAATAATTTGGATTAATATTACGGTACTTTAAATACCGTAAATCTTAAACCGTATTATATGGCATTTTTAATTATGATACTTTAAATACGGTAAAACTTAAGTCAGAGTACACGGTATTTTAACTTCCGTATAATTTTCAACAGCAGCTAACTCAAAAACCACAACATAGCTCATTGATTTCCATGGGTCCTTGGCCCAACAATCCTTTGAAATTGCAGCTCTGATATCCACCAAATTGAAAGGTGGGGGAGCTGCAGGGTCGAATTTCTCCCCTTCTATCTCTCTCATCAAAAGAAACAACCTTCACTCTCAATTTCCAGTCCCCTAAACCACCCCTTCCTCCAGAAACAATCCTGCAAACCGTTGAATCGAGATATGCTCTTTTTGCAGAGAAACCCAAAGAAAGAGAGTGTCTGAGCCTTGAGGTAAGCTTAGGGAAAGGAGAGACCCTTGGAAGTGGCCTCAAACCTGAGAGAAACCAAGAAGGGCACAAAAACAAAATCAAGAAAACCCAGATAAAAAAAATGATGTGGGTTTTAATGGGTTTAGAGAGAGAAACGATAAAATATTAAATGGTTGGGTTTATTGTAAAAAAAAAGAAGTGGGTTTTAATGGGTTTAGAGAAAGACGATAAAATAGTAAATGGTTGGGTTTATTGTAAAAGGATAAACTGGGTGTTGCAGAGAAGTAAAAAGAAAGCCTCTTTCTCTCTCTAGCTGTAGTTATACATTAGGTAAAATGTCATATAATATGTTCTAGGCTTTACGGTATGTAAAGAACCGTAAGGTAAAATGTCATATAATATGTTTTAGGTTTTACGGTATTTAAAGAACCGTAATTTAAAATATCTTATAATATAGTTTAGGATTTATGGTATTTAAAGTACCGTAATATTATTCATATTATTACGGTAATAAGACTATCGTGAAGGTTATTTTAATCACAAAATGATCAAAATTGTAGGAAAATGGTGTGGACGAGGTTTATGAAAGTTTGATTTTTTTTTTCTTCTAAATAGATAGAAAATTAAGGTATATTTGTAATAATTTCCCTTCACAATAATATCAACTTTAGAAATCCCAAAACATTCTTTACTCAATGAAACCCAACTAAACATAGTGTCCAAAATCTTATTCTTGATAGCCTCCTCACACAATAATTGCCCTTCAAATATCCTTCTATTTCGATCTTTTCCATAACTTTCACAAATAGTTGCTCTAAAAATTTTCCAAATTATTTTCCCCATATTTGTAAGATATGGAATAGATGGTTGATAATATCATAATGTCTCCCGGGCAGGGTCATGCATAATCCCATAGTGCCGAAGGCCCACATCCAAATTTGTTGAGCAAAAGGGCCTCACAAAAAAATATAATCCCAATGCTCCTCATCTCTCTTACATGTCATACAAATACTAACCAGTGCACATTCTTCCTTAATTGATCTATTGTGAACTTTTTCCAGGCTCAACACCCATATAAAAGCCCTTATTTTACGGGGACTCGGCCATTTTCAGATCTTTCCTGAAGTATGCCCATCTAGTTCCATCAGTGCACATTCTTCCGTAATTGATCTATTGTGAACTCTTTCCAGGCTCAACACCCATATAAAATCCTTTATTTTATGGGGACTCGGCCATTTTCAGATCTGTCCTGAAGTATGCCCATCTAGTTCCATCATTAAATAGTAGAAAGTTTACAGATTTTATGTTTACAAATTGAGAATACTCTTGCTTTACGTTCTGATACAACCCCATCTTCCACATGTGAGGAGATGTAACTCACCAAAAGATCACACTGTAATAAAGTAAATTGGTCTATGATCGAGTCCAACACTCTATTGTAAGTGCATGTGATATTTTATTGTAAGTGCATGTCATATTCCATGGTGTTTCATGGCTAGATCCAGAGACCATATCCCCCACCTTAACGATCTCATTTCTAGAAATCCTATAGAGCTCTGGATATTGAAACTTCAGTGCTACATCACCCATCCATTTGTGATTCCCAAACAAGGTTTTATCACATTTCCCTACCATCCATCTAGAGTTCCTTGGAAACAATTGTTTGCAATGTCTAATCCAATTCCAAATATGAGAGACTTCCCTACCCTGTCTTGCATCCTTTTAAACAAGATATCTCTCTATCCACACCATATTTAGCACATAAAACCTCCCTCCATAGGTGCTCTCTCCTTGTGTACTTCGCCGCCACCTTTTGGCAAAGAGGGCTCTATTCATATGTTTCAAACTCCTAACTCCCAAACCCTCCGCCTTTTATTGGCACAAATACTTTATCCTAGCTAAGAAAATGACATTTCCTATTGCTTTCATAGCCTCCTCGAAGGAAATTTTCATCAGCTGCTCAAGTTGCCTCCCCATAGCCTTATATGAGATTAATAACTGATAAATTGGTGAATTGGCAAGGGTGACTTTATCAACGTAACCCGTCCCCCTAATGATAAGATTTTTGCCTTTGATAAGTCTTACTGTTAAATTGATGTAAAACTGGATCCCAAACAGATCTTGGCAGTCCGGTGTCTGAGATTGGCATACCTAAATATTTAATCGGAAAAACATCTACTTTGCAACTAATAATACATTAAATCTTGCAATCTGACTATGTGAACAAGATATTTTTACACATTTATATTCAAACCCATCGCCACTTCACAACACTTCATAAATATTTTTAAAATGAAAACTTGGCTAGCATCTGTATCATAAAATATTAATGTATCATTTGCATATCATAAGCTAGAGATTTTAGGAACCTCGTTAGCGACTAAAAAGCCATTGATGAGACTATCAGCTTCTACCCTGTGAAGCATAACATTGAAAGAAAGATTCTACCATAATAGTAAACAAGATAGGGGATAAAGGATCATCTTGCCTATACTTCTGATTGTTTTGAAAAAACTCATTAACAAGGATAGAAAGTGAGCACTAGAAAGGCACTCATTAATCCATTTCTTCTATTTTTGCCCAAATCCTATAACTCTCATCATCTCTTGTAAGACATTCTAGTCCACTCAATCATTTGTCATTGTTTAGGGTTGGGAACCAAAAAGAAAAAACGCATTTTGCTAATTTGACCCAACTTGCACAAGTTGGATAACTCATGCCATTTGGTTGGGGCCTCTAAGAATAGGCCCCTATTCAAGATTCCCAATCTTGAGTATAGACAATTAAGGCCTTTTGTATGATATTTTTGAAAAAGTTTCTAAGCGAAATGAAATTTAAAAGTAGATGCTCTCGTATTAATGAGATGCTTTGACCCCCCAAACGATTTTATAAGTATAATATTTTAGCTAATAGCTACATACAATTGTTTGAAGCGACATTGTGCACAATGTTCGTAAAACCGGGCGATCTAACTGCTAACCACTTGGTTAGATCACTAGCCGGTTCTAATTTTGGGCGGTTTTGGTGATCAACCGGTATTTTAAAAAAAATTCAAAAATATATATATGAATTCTAAAAAATAAGGAATTTGTTTGTAATACATTTTTTTAATATTCTTTAAATTATGGTAAAGATTAAAACTTGTTTTGGTAATTAATACTCACTTTTATATTTTTCCCATCTTTTTTCAGAAAATTTTAAAAATACCCCTGGGCCCAAATAGAATGTATTTTGTATTTCATTAAAATCTATTTTTTTCATTAATTTTCAACTTCATTTGAATGTATTTTGTTTTAATTATTCTTTTTATGTTTTTTATATTTTAGTAGATTCTTTTTGCATCTGTTTTTATTGTTTTTAACACTTTTATGAACACCCGTGACTTGTCCGGTTAGAGTGGTTGAATCGGCTGGTTAACCGATTAAGCCGGTTAAACCGCTTCCGAGCCCATATCCTATTAATCGTTCCGGTTCGATTTTGCGAACACTGATTGTGCACCATTCAACTATGATTTATTGAATACATTGAACCACTCGTGCATTGTAAACACCAAACCAGCAGGGCACCCACATTCCCTTCATAATTGCTGCAAATATCAACCATACCAATGTGGATTTCCCCGGTTGATCTCCACCGTCCATCAATAGAGTGAATAACCTTGTGTACCATGACCCTAACCATACTTCTCTTGTCAAAATGCCCAAACAATCCCTTCAGTTGAAGTGAAAAATTTATCACCTCCTCAAGATCTTACTATCCAAGCAACCACCATGGCAAGCGAAGGTTGTGACCTAGTCAAAAGAACAGAGGGGAATTGTGATAGCATGCTTCTGTTGGAGCTTACTGTATATGAACTCCATCAGGCAAAAGAGCTACTTGGGATTATTTTATTTTATTCTGGCGGTTAAGTTATTATTTTTTAATTGAAATTTGAGTTCCTCAATACTTAGATCTTATCCCTCTAAAATTTGAACGGTCCTCGTTTAATCTTGTGAGACTGAAAATTTTCAAGCACAGAGAATGTATGATTTTGAAAATTTTTATGTTTAATTTTTGAAGTTGGTCCTAGATTATAGTGGGGTCTTGGAGCTTCATTTTTATGGGAGGGATCAAATGGAGATTATGCTTCCGCCGGAGCGGCAAACATTTAGCACTACAAAACTTATTCTAATTAATTTAATAAATTATTCGAGACACATAAGAACAAAGTTGGGGATGTAGCTCACATGGTAGAGCGCTCGCTTTGCATGCGAGAGGTACGGGGTTCGATACCCCGCATCTCCATGAAATTCATATTTTGTTCTTTCGTTTCTTTCGTTTGTTTCACAAAAATTCATATTTTCTTTTTTCGTTTCTTTCATTTGTTCCACGAAAATTCATATTTTCTTTTTTCGTTTCTTTCGTTTGTTCCACGAAAATTCATATTTTCTTTTTTCGTTTCTTCCACGAAAATTCATATTTTCTTTTTTCGTTTCTTCCACGAAAATTCATATTTTCTTTTTTCATTTGTTCCACGAAAATTCGTATTTTCTTTTTTCGTTTGTTCCACGAAAATTCATATTTTCTTTTTTCGTTTCTTCCACGAAAATTCATATTTTCTTTTTTTGTTTGTTCCACGAAAATTCATATTTTCTTGTTTCGTTTCTTTCGATTGTTCCACGAAAATTCATATTTTCTTTTTTTCGTTTCTTGGGAATGGACGTCGATAACATATGACGTACACGACGAGGACACTTTACCTTTGGACTGTACGGGAGAATCTGTTGCACCACAGATTTTTTGAACGATCATGAAATATAATTTACATGTAAGAGAAATACTAGAAAAGACAAAAGATTCTACACTCTCACGTTAGTACAATATGTGAAACTCAATCCATGACTATTTTCTAGGCCACTCAAATTTGATGATAACAAGAATTTTAACCTAGCAACCAACTGAAAAAAAAAAGAAAAAAAAAAAAAAAAAAGGCCATTCGTATGTCCATAAACAAAATAGTGAAAAGTTTATATAGAGTCAATGCTCTAAACCATCAAAATTAGGGCGCACCTCAAAATTTTCACTAAAAGAGGTTGTTTTGATGACTAAAATGTCCTCAAATTGATCATCTTGACATCATGATGTATCCACATGAGAAAAAATGGATTTCAAGTTTTAGAAATAATGCATCTTGTAGCGCATTTTTTGACCGTCAATTTTCAAGATTTTCAAGTTTTTATAGATCTTCTCGGTCTAAGCTATTTTTGAATTTAAATTTTATAATTAAAGATGAAAATATATTTTTTGTCACAACGAATTCTAGTATTGAAACCATATTTCTCGATAGTATTTGAAGGTGCGCTTTACTCTGACTGCTTAGAACCTTGGCTCTATACAAACCGCACCCAACAAAATAACACCCCAAGATTGAATAAATACCTTTAAATCTTTGATATGTAATTAATAATTCAATTTCTTTTTCTCTTTTTTTTTTGAAATAGTCATTTGAGAATTGTTAGGTGGATCTCAAAATTTTGTTTAAAAAAACTCCTAGTAGATAGCTCTTTTACCTCAGGGATCAACTGTACAGTTGTACTCTCCAGAGAGTATAATATAGAAGCTTGAAAAAAATAAAACCTTGAGGGGAGACTCACCTTAGCCAAAAAAAATATTATGAAAAAGTATACAATAAGATCTTACCTTTGGTACAAGATGATCACAATCAATCTTGGCTATTAAATATGAAATTGGATGGTTGCATTTATTCCATTGATCAAACTCAAACTCCAAAAGAAATTTTCTATTGACCAAATTCAAACTTCAAAAGAAATTTTTTCGAACTTTATGATAGACCCAAGCTATCAGATTTCACATTTAATCGTTACAAGTAATTGTGACCTCTTTGTTTTAAAGGTAAATGGTCTCATTGTATACAATCCCAAAAATTAAATGCTCTGTCCGGTATATGCTCCTTGTTTTAGAGCCCAAATTTTAGGGATGTAATCTCACAGGGAGTACCTCAAAATGAAAAAATTCATAACCAGAGATGGGCTCGTAAATAATATTTGATGGAACCCTTAAAATTGAATAAATCCCATCCAATTTTGGATTATCAAATCAAAATGTTTACAACCTCAAAATCCAATTCATATCAGCAAATACGCTCAAGTAGATTATCAAATCAAGATGTTTACAACCTCAAAATCTAATTTATGCCAGCAAATACTCTCAAGTGCCTCTTAAGTGGATCCCAAAATATTATATGAGAAAATTGTCTTAAATGGATCTTTCACCCAAGGGAGTAACCTACAGTTTGCTCCCATGGGAGCACGCTACATGGGATTTGAATTATACATCGAAAAAAGTTCACGTTTTTTGAATTATCTCTAGGAGCTGGTTGCAGTTTTGCACCACTCATCTTCAAACCATATGAAAACAGGCATGCCAAAGAAACTCAGAAAGAGAGAGAGAGAGAATAGAATCATTTCACCAAATCAACAAAGCCCATTAGACCAATAGAGAGAGAGAGAGAGAATCCTTTCACCTAATCACCAAGGCCCATTAGAGAGACAGAGAAAGAGGGAGAGAGAATTGACACCGCCATTTTCCATGGCCTCAACTGCTGCAATTTCTCTCAGAACTCTCATCCAAATTCGGAAAACTCGAAGACCAACAATTCGAAGGCCATTAGCGATCGCAGCTGCCCAACCAAACATTGATGAAGAAACAAATGCAAAGACGGCGAAGAAGAAGAACAGGAATCCTGGTATGGATACAAGAATTCATTGGGATAGTCCTGATGAGGGATGGATTGGTGGGAAATCTCGGCGTATCGAAGAAAAGCAGGAGAGTTTTAGTGAGAAGTTCTCTGACCTCATCGACCGCACTGATTCGCACTACCAGTGAGTTTGTGTTCAATTCTTTGATAAACAATATCTCTCTAAACAACCCCCTAAACCAATTTAATAAGAATACTCCAACAAAATATCCCAGGATTATGTAAGTTACCATAATAACTCTCTCTTCTGTAACTACTGTGATTTACTTGGTCTACTAAAATCACACCTCTCTCTCTCCCTCTACCCCCAAACATCCATCAATCTAATATGAAAATTTCTAGACCATTACAATAAAATTCACATAAAGTTTTCAAGACCATTAGAAAAATTCAATATAAAAGTACTGAAAGAAAACTCTCACCATTAGATCATTGTTAGAGATGTGTATTGTGAAAAAAATACGTGTGACCTGTGTTGCAAAAACATATATATGTATGCCGGTATCTAATATACTCACAAGTGTCAAAAATGCAAACATCAAAATTGATTTTTTTAGAGTCAATTGTCTGTCCTTTAGATAAAAATAGAATTGTAATTTTAGATAATATTAACATAATTTAGTGAGAAAAGATATGGTGAATTATAGTTCGATGGAAAATATGATCCTGGATAAAGTGGAATGACAAACATGATTCATATAGCTAATCTCAAATAGTTAAGATAAAGCTCTGATGATAATGATTATTAACATACTTTTATAATGTTCTTTTCACCATAAAGATTAACGAGTGTTTAAATTTCTAAAGTATCAGACAAAGGTGTGGTGTCCTTAATTGAAACAATAAATGTGCAGGTCTACATTACAGTATCTAACAACCCTACCCTGATTAACCTGATTTCCCCAAACCTCTCTTTAACCGCTCTGAACCTCCCTACAGGTTCCTAGGCATTCCACCTGAAGCCGACCAAGAAGAGATCAAAGCCGCATTCCGCCGCCTCTCCAAAGAGTACCATCCGGACACGACTTCTCTCCCTCTAAAATCCGCCTCCGACAAATTCATGCGCCTCAGAGAAGCCTACAATGTTCTTAGTAATGAAGAGAGCCGGCGATTCTATGACTGGGGCCTTGCCCAAGAATCAGCGAGTCGAAGAGCTGAGAAACTCAAACTGAAACTCGAAGACCCATATGAACAAGATGTGGAGAATTTTGAGTCAGTACCAGACATGGTTGATCGGCTTGGAGGAAAGAACATAAAGTTAAGTGACCAGGCCATGACTGCTCTTACCATTGATATTGCCATCATAATTTTCTCCATTTGTTGTATTATTTATGTGGCTTTCTTTAAAGAGCCTTACTAGGGATAAATAATGGGTTTGTAATATGTGCAGGTGTTTGTTCAAACAACAAAATAAAGGACAAGGTTTATACGAGTCCCCCTGACTCATCTATTTAAAGGAGTCCCTATTTAAATTCATCATCTATTTAAAATTCATCTTAGAGATGGATTTCAGATCCAAAAATTTAGGGGTCGACAATCCCCACTTTGGTGTATATTTAATAGAAAAGATTACACATATATCGGTTATTTCAGCGTTATTATAACTACTTTACCCATTTTATATCTCTCATTACAACAGTTTGTCAATATTTTTAAAAATGACCAAATCTCCCTTTTCAGATTTTCAAGATCCGAATTTTATTTTTGCATGAAATAAAATTTTTGGATTTTCAAAATTTGAAAATTACAAAAATAAGGCAAATTAAGATCCAAAAATAGCGTAATTTTTTACTTTGAAGGTCAATTTTTTTTTTTTGGTCCTAAAGATCCGAAAATAGGGTAATTTAAGACCTTGAAGTTTGATTTTTTTTAATTTTTTATTTTATTTTATTTTATTTATCTCGGATCCTGAGATCCAAAACACATCAATTTTAGAAAAAAAAATTTAGAGCTCCTAAGAATGGGTATGCATGTAATATCCAATTTTTTTAATGTAATAAGTGAAAAATTTAGGCAAAATATTAATTAAGCTTAAAATAAAAGATATATATGTATTTTTTCCTCTTTAATATAAAGGAAAAATACTTTTTAAAAATAGTTTTTCCTAATAGTTATCGACTTATTAGTCGACCCAAATTATTCATTGATGTGAGTTAGAAGCTACATCTAAAATATCGTCTTCACCATTTATAATTACTCAAAATTGTCGAGTATGGTGGGCAATGTCATTATTCTATGAGAATCTGAGTATGCTAATCAAATTGGTGGGCCGAGCTATAACAGAATTTAGAAGCTTTAAAATGTTTAAGTCTTAGCAACTTCGAATGAACCTGAAAACACTAGTTTTATAGCAATTTTTTAATATTATTTATATTCCTTTAGGTCCGAGTCCTTAGGTGGTTGCTAGTCTGGGTTCGATGGTTTTCATGTCAAATCATCAATTTTTGAAACCCTAATCTAAAGATTTAAAAAAACTTTATCCATGGTTAACTACAAATCGAGCCTTTTTTGTTTCTTGAATTAGTATTTGGGTGTGGTTTATATTAGATTGAGGTCTTAACCAATCAAAGTAAGATGCACCTTTAAATAGTGTTGGAGAATATTGTTTCAATATCTTGCAAATTTTCTTTTATCTTTAATTATAAAAATAAAAAATTAAAAAATAGTATAGATCGAGCAGATCTATGAATACTTGAAAATATTAAAACTTGACGGTCTAGATAATACAATAGTCCACTATTTCTAAGACTTGAAATTTATTTTTTCTCATGTCCATACTTATTTTTTGAGGTCAAGATGATCAAATTGAGGGTTGTTAAGCTTCGAAACATCTTTTAGTGAATTTTTTAGATGATTGTTTAGGGTTCACCCTTATAGAAACTTTTCCTTAGTATTTTCCTACTAAGGAAATGTTCCGGACCTGTAAAAATCATGAACTAACTTTATCTACTATTTTTTTTTAATTAAGACATTCTGCGCTTACTCTATATTTTTACAAAATAAAACACATGGTAATGGATGTAGCTAAGTTTAGAAACAGTATTTCCAGAAGAAAAGGTTAAGAAAATGAAAAAGGGATAAAAGTTGATATCCAAGCATATGCATCTAACCATACCAATGAAATATAAAAAGAGAATAGAGAGAGTATACAGCATTTGATACAAAAAGATGGCAATCACTTTTAATCATCTCCGCTCGTATGAATCGGTTAGTAGCGTACCTTTGACGACCAACCTCAAAGTTTGAGATAATTTTTCTCCATTTTTGAAAGGGAATCCACACAATAGCTATTCGATTTTACTTCGGGATTGTGCCCATAGTGTAGGAAAAGTAATTGTCAAATTTTATGTGAGAACGATGCCGGTAAAGAGATCTAGCGAGTAAACGAACTCTAACCATCCAATTTTACATCTAACAGTTTGGTAAAAGACCATTTAATAGCAAATACTTTACCGATTACGGATGAAACTCATGTTCATTTTATCGATAGACATTTTCTTCCATCGATAACAATAGTATGGACTTTATCCATTGTAGGGTTTGATGAGGAAAGGGGGAAAAAAGATTTACATATTTCAAGGGGCATACCCCAAGAATGCCAAAATTGAGCTCAAAACAACTAAACATGCAAAATGTAATCGCATTTCATAATTTGAGTCCTTCTTATCCCTATTACAGACTAACAAAACAATTAAGTAAATGTTGTGGTTAGAGGCCTTGAATATCCCAAGCCAAAAGCTTAGCAAGATCACTCAATACAATATTAGATTAACAAGAGATGTACAATTACTGTGCAGTACTTCAATTTTATTCATTTCCCAAGGAGAGAGATAGAGAAAGATGATGTATCAATTACTTAAATCATAAAAAGGAAAATTTCAAAGATAATGTGTTTAATCAGGAAAGCAAGCAAAAAGAGTTGCGAGATTTACAAGTAAATAAACATAATGGAGTGATCCAAAAAATTCATCTTTATGTATTCAGAAAGGTTTTGAAGGAAAAAGACTGCATTTTTTAGGGTCTCTTGTGCTTCATTCACTCCTACCAACTTGGTCAGCTTTGCCTTATAATTGTGCAAGTAGCCGATCTGTTTCTCAAATGATAGGGATTTCTGCAACATAACCACAAACAGACTCAGCCTAGCGTAGAACAATATAACGGTTAATTGTACATACAAAACTATAAAATTTGAGATAGTTCCTCTCTCTAAAAATTTTGAGGTAGTTTGTCTCTCTCTAAAATTTTAAATTTCAAGTTTTAAGAGAAAGAAACTGTCTTAAATACACAAAGAGTATTTTTTGTTCTTTTAAAATCCACTTTTGTACACAGAAGAGTATTATTCATCAAAACCAACAAGACTAGCTGATGTGAATTTATGTTTTGAAGGACGTATAGTTCTATCTAGCTTGTAACAGTTCAATCTGAAGGACGTATCGTTCTATTTATGAATTACCTCAAGAAAGATTTAATTGGTTTAAAAGCCACTCTATTTTGAATTGTGTTGTGGATTAAACCGCATGCTTATCTTAGTTGATAATGATGACAATGATGAAATACTACAAATAAATAATAAATACATAATTTTCTTTAATTAAAATAACAAAAGAAGAGAAAGAATGATCAATCAAATTATCATAACCTGATGCAGCTGAGGCAAAACTAACACCATGTGATAAGTCCTCGCTCTTTAGACCTTCTAAATATCCGGGGATTGTCCTCTTCAGCCCCAATAGCTCAGCTAAATGAGAAAAAAAAAAATTTAAAAATTACAAATAGTTCGTGAGAAGGTGTAACAAATTAGATATGAGTATAGTAATAACAAAGAGATGGAGAGAGACTTTTGAAATAACAATACTTTAGAGAGGCATGCACATTAATTTCCCTACATTTGAAATCAATGTAACTCCATTATTAGTCATGAACTTAGAGCTCAGTAACAATAGAGATCCAATTTCCTCGAACAATTGGAATGAATGCTAAAAAAAAAAAAAATACAAAGCATTATTATGCAGGTGATAAGTATAACAAATAGGAGTAGAGCCTAAAGAAAGCAAGCGAGCCTTAAGCGATGCCTTATATGTTGGTTCATATTTACTTGCCAAGAAGCTAAAATACACATACCACGATTGAAATAATTGGTATATTGTAAAAAAGGTGCATTTTGCATAGAGCCGAGGCTTTGAACAATCAAATTAGAGCCCGCCTTCAAATAGTATCGACAAATATGTTTTCAATACTCGAAAGTTTTGTGATAGCTTTAAATTATATTTTCATCTTTAGTTATAAAATTTAAAGCTTCAAAAATAGTGTAGATCAATCAGATCTATGAAAAGTTGAAAATCTTGAAAATTGACGGTCCAAATATACGTTACAAGATACACTATTTCCAACACTTGAAATCCAATTTTTTCTCATGTCCATGCATCTTGATGTCGAGATGATTAATTTGATGAAATCTTGATGTCGAGATGATTAATTTGATGAAATTTGAGCTTCAAAACAACCTCTTCTAGTAAAATTTGAATGTTTAGAGCCTAGGCTCTATATAGACTTTTCTCGTGTAAAAAAATGTCAAATTTTGCTATATTTTTATGGGTGATATAAAATTACATGTGTATCTTCCATATTATTTATGTTATTTAAAATCTATCTAATGTAATCTCTTTAAAGTCCTATATTTTTAAAAAATAAATTTACAGGCTGAAAATATTATTGGATATTCAAAATTATGTGATTATTGTAAAAAAAAAAAAAAAAAAATGAGGCGACATAAATTTCAGATATTCAAAATCTACAAATTATGAAAAAAAAAAAAGACATTTCCATACTAAAGAAATCTTTGGATATTCAAAATCACAAATTTATAAAAAAAAAAGGAAATTTTATGGATAAAAAAAAAATCGAGATATTAAAAATTTAAAAATTATAAAAATAAAATGCATAAGATAAAAAAATATGGGTAATTTGAAAAAAACTAGGTAGGAATATAAAAACAAACATAGTCATCCATCATATATGTGTCCAAGCGCACAAAGCAAAAACCTAAACATTATTATAATTTTATGTATATTTCCAAGCCTATATCAAAAAAAATGGAAATACATATATCTATATCGAAGCCCACCCCACAAATCAAAAGAATAAAAACATGCAAAAAAAAAAAAAAAAATTAGTAAAAAGTGGAAGAAAATTATTAGCTATCAAATGAGTCAGCAGTCGGCCGTTTGTTATCCTTCCGGTGTGACGGTGGCCTCGGACGTCCTCGCCGCCATACGGGGGAAAGTTGGCCGGAGAGCCGGTTATTATTCCGGGGATCAACCGTAGAGTCGAGGAGGCAACTCCCATTCTTATTGTTTGGAGCTGCTGCCTAGAGTTTGAGTTGGGAGGGAGGATTCTCAGTCCTAAAAAATAGTATTGCATATCAACCCTCTATTTCTAAGATTGATTTTCACCCGTTTATAGTTCCCCAATATTCTTTAAATTTTAAATTTCATAAATAGAGTTGAAAATAATTTTCTAGGTAGTCCCACCCCCACACTTTTCAAATTATACAACTAACCCCAATGTTATTTTTACATCTACCTCCAAGCAAAAAAACGTAGTCTTTTTAAGACGGAATTACACTCTATAAATTTAAGATAGCCTCTCTCTAAAACTTGAAATTTAAAATTTTAGATAGAAAAACCATCTTAAAATTTTGAGAAAGAAAAACTATATATTAAATCTCAAGTTGTAGAGAGAAATTACCTCAAAATGTCTAGAGAGAGAAAATATCACAAATTTTACCACAAATAAATTTTTATACTGAGAAATTATCTCAATATTTTAAGAGAAAGAAATTATATCAATATTTCGAATTCTGAAGATATAAACTTTCTCAAAAAATTTAGGGAGAAACTATCTCAAATTTCAATTTTTTTCAATTTTTTAGATAGAGAAGCAAACTTTTATGGAGATAAACAAACTATCTCAAATTTTTTAGGGGGAAACTCTTCAGAATTTCAAGTTTTAGAGAGATAAACTATCTCAAAATTCTTATAGAGATAAACTTTCTCAAAATTTAAATTTTTAGAAAGAGAAAATATCTCAAACATCAAAAGTTCTGAAGAGAGAAATTTTCTCAAAATATTTAAAGAGAAACTATCTCAAATTTTAAATTTTTAAAGGTAGAAACTATCTCAAAATTTTGAGAGGGGGAAACTATATTATTTAAAGAGAGAAACTACCTCAAAATTTTTAGAGAGAGAAGCTATCTCAAAAATTTTAGAGAAATTATCTTGAATTTTATATTTTTAGACGAACAATATCTCAAATTTCAAAGTTTATGCATAGAGGGTAGTTTAGTATTAAAACCTACTTTATTACTTGTAGGGGTGGATGTTAAAATAAATAGTACTAGATTTAGTAATGTGATTTAGAAAGTACTTCGGCGTGCAAGAAATTAGATCCAGGGCCTCATCTATAATTTTCTCATTAAAAAAAACGTTGCTAAAATCAACACTTCAAAATAAAAGTATTGATTTGAGGTATAAATCAAAATCAAAAAATTTATACAAAGAACACTTTGAAAAGAAAATGACAAAAAAAAATGCCGAAAGGAGAAAAAAAAAAATCACTATTTGAGATCTGGTTTGTATTATACAAAAATAACATTATTACGCCTTTGTACATTGATGTCATATGAGCATTTTGTGATAAGTTTGAATGAATTTGGTAAAACGAACGAGAAAGAAATTGAATATTTTTTATTTTTGACTAGAAAAATAGCTAAATTTTAGAAACTCAATTTCTTCTACAACTTACTGTCACGAGGGTTTGTTAGTGGGATCCAATACTAACAATTTGGAACAAATTTCAAATTGTTTGGTTAAGATTCGAAGGAGAACAATATAGAAAGGCATATTTGAGTTTTGGGGCTCAAAAAGACGAAAATTTCAATGATAAGACTTCACGGAAATCAAAAATTTCTTAAACATTTGCTTGTTTCCACTAAAAACCTGCAGATTATGTTCAAAGAACAGCAAAAAAATTTCTTTTCAATTATTTTTCACATGCAGGGAAAAAAATATTATTGGCCAACTCGCTCGAGTCCAAGCTAGAGCCCAGTATAGGTCTTAAGTCAAGTCAAGCGGCTCGCTCCGAGGCGGATAGCCAATTTTGCATGTACCAGTCAAAAATCATGGTCAATATGGCCTGACATACTTTCTAATTCTACCACACACACCCTCGGGTTTATGCTGGCCAAATGGCTATAGTCTGGTTAGGGTTTCTTATTGAAGGATCATAGATGATGTGGGCACGTACCAATTTTTAACACTACACAAATCAAATAAGTCGGTTTGCATGTTCCAATTTTTCATTCGGTTCTGATTTTTTTTTGCAAAGGTACCATTTCAAATTTTAGATATTCAAAGAATAAAATTTTTATAATTTTTTTTAGAAAAAATTACATACATATTCGTTATAGTTTGTGTTAAATTCAAATTTTGAACAACCAAATTCTCTCTCTATACACATACCCTTTACCGGTCTTTTCCCTTTAAACTCTTCCTTATATTTATAGATTGAGTGGGTTTAAACTCTTCCCTACGTTTATCCATTCAATTTTTAGATTTTCAAAAACCTAAATTGGCTTGATTTTGATTGTTGAACAACCAAAAATCCATTGAATTCGCAAATTGGCCTGACTTAAGTTGTTGAACAACTGAAAATTTTCAATTCTTCAACCATCGAAAATTTTGAACTTTCGGTTTTCAAAAATCATTCGGTTTTTCAAAAATTGAAATTGACCTCACTTTAGTTGTTGAACATCTAAAAATCTAAAAATCCATTGAATTTGGTTGCTCAACAATTTATCTTTTTTTTTAATTTTCGTTATGACATGAAAAAAAACAGACAAGTAGGTAATAACGAAAACTATTCGATAGTTTTGTAATAATACAAACGATAACGGTTAATTTTCCCTAAATTTTTTGAATGTTGTGACACTTAATCTATTGGATTCCACATCCAATGGCTAAAAATAATTGTGTACCAAATGTAAATGGTTTCGTAGCATACAATCCCATATGAAAGGGTGCAAAAAGTTCCAAATCCATTTTCATACCCTAATATCACTTAATGATAAAAAAAAAAGAATTTGGAATCCTAATAATGCTTCAACATCTCAAATTTTGATGTAAACTAATCAATTCAATGGATGATAGATCGATCAAACCTCCTAGTTCTTTCTCTTGCGAAGGTCGATTTGCTGGTTTTTTAAAGTGTTACTTGTGCCTCATTGCATGAAAAGATGGAATTTATGTTGCAGACACGAGTACGATGAAAAAGACCTCACAATAAAATGTAAAAGTACATAAAAAGATTGTGTATTTTAGGTATGATGTCTCAATTACTTCTAGCCATTTCATGTGAAATCATACTGCTATTGGTATATAATTGGCCATGCTCAATGTCCAAAAAAGCTATTCTCAAACTGTGTGTTACCTTCCAATTTCACATAACTTGAAACTGTGTTACCATCTAATTTCACATAACTTGGTGTCCAATTTTCACATTTGACAGTTAGGTATGTTTGAAAAACTTTTCTAGTGAAGTTTTAATGTTCTTGTCGTATACAATCCCATATTTCGACACTTCAAAATTAAGACCTTCTTGTTGTTTTAATTTCCAAGCCAAATTGAAATTTGGACCAAATCAACATGTGACCTATTACAATAAATCATCGAGGGTTGTTTGATTTTCAAATTTGAACTGATTCGCAATTACTCGACCTGTTACCCTATGTCAACGAGGGTTGTGTGATTTTCAAATTTGAACTGATTCGCAATTAGTATTCTCCGCACAAACATGTAATCTCCTTTGTGATTTACATATACGAGAATATGAACTCTAAAAAGTGTGCCAGAACATGCATCACATGGCATCCAACTAATGTTTGACAAAGTGAGAACCTTGCAGAAAAAATAGCCTCGTTATTTGAGATCAACAAATCTAACTACATGGTTTTCATTATTGGCTTTTCAAGCATGTTCCATTGATTTGAGCTAAGGAATTTGAGGTCAGAGTGAGTGCAAAATAAACTTGGTGCACAGAAAAATACTTGGTTTCATCTTAAAATAACAAAAGATGTGAAAATTAGAAAATTACAGCCAAACCACAATTTTGCCCAATATGGCAAAAAATTAGAATAACAATGTAAATGTGAACTGTGTTTCAAATAAAAAAAAAATAATCACAGCATACTAGTCATGGAGCTCGATTATCTTCGCAACCGATGAATCACCTACTTTCTGAAAGATGACCACACGATCGTGGGGCTTGACCATGCCTATTGCCTTGCCATGCTGCATTGCAATCGCGAGCCCTGAGTCATCACTAGAACCAGCAGGACCAGCCTGAAATTGACCAGCGAGCTTGAAAATTCAGACTATTGAATAGCTGTCATACACTTAAATTATGAACATTGGGGAGGTAATATCATGATACCATTGCCATAGGAAATCTACGGACATAATTTCATCACCATATAATTCAATATACAAACTCCATATCAAGATAAGCAGCTATCTTGAAGACAAGACTATGGAAAAGAAATCAGAGGGCAAAACTATTGGGAAATAATGAGCCAATTTTCTAGGCTATTAAAATAAGGGCCATCTACCTATAAATTTCATAAAAGAAATATCAGAAGTCTTACCACAGTACTAGGATTTCCAAGGATAGGATATACTCCCCTCAGCGCAAGACATTGTTTCGCCTGCAAGATGACAAATATTTTCATTCATTATAACATAGGCATAACAAATATTTTGATTCATTATAATATTTTGATTCATTATAAAAATATATCTCTACATGTATCTGTGTATGCATGTGCTTGCATGCATATTCGCATATATGAACCATAGTTGTTGGAGACGCTTGGGAATCAGAATCGTTTTAAGAACCGAAATCGGGGAATCGCGGCCGGCTAGAAGATTCATGTCTTAGGAATCATTGTCCATATAATAGGTATCGTGGGGAACGAGATTCCTAGTTTTTGATAATCGTGTTTCAACCAAAATAGATCCAAGTTTCATCCACATATGGAATCGAGATTCCATCCTCCTTGGAATCGAGATTTCCACTCCCCTAGAATCGACACTCCAGGAGTCAAGATTCATTAATATGCGGAATCGAGTTTCCGACATCTATGGAATCGAGTTTCCGACCTATGTGGAACAAAGATATGTTGTTGTTTCGAATCGTGATTCGAACATATTTGGAGTCAAGTTTCTGAAGTATATGGATCAGAGATCTATGCCAGTTTGAGATCGAGATTTACAATAATATGGACTATGAAATGCGTTTGACGACCCCTTCCAGGAATCGAGATTTCATTTTTATGGAGAAGGAAGCCCAAAGCACATCTTGAGCCTTATCAACTTTAGAACCTATATTGGATGTCTCTTATTAGAAGGTTTCTCAAATTTTAAAGTGATTGTGTTGACTATTGAACTTACGGTCATTATATATAAAAGATGAGTATTTCTAAATTGTGATTTTGACTTCATTATCATAAAAACAAAATAGGATTATGTCTATGCCATGGTTTTACTTTTAATTGTATGTGTTGTATTTACCGGTTATATTTTAAATTTAAAGTAAAAGCCATCTAGGGTAGCACAAGTAAAATAATGAAAACCTGCAACCACTAGAAACATTCGAAGGAAGATTTCTACTCCAATTTCCTTTAGGAAATGCACAACCATCATAGACATTGGACATTATGTACTTTGGATTGATTTTTTTTTTTTGATATTTTGAATTTATTTATTTTTGAATCAAGATTTAATCATCGCAGGAATCCAGATTCGATATATTTGGGAACGTTTACCCACAATTATTGGGTTCAAGTTTCTAAAGATGTTTTGGATCGAGATTCCAAAATTAAGGAATCGAGTTTCGTTGGTTCTGTTAAATGGTTTCTAAAGATGTGTTGAATCGAGGAATCTGAAATTAAGGAATCGAGTTCCCTTGGTTCCCAAAAATAGTTTCTAAAGATGTGTTGAATCGAGATTCCGAAATTTAGGAATCAAGTTTCCATGGTTCCGAAAAATGGTTTCCGTGGAGATTCCTTAACGGAACCGCATAATCGGGTTTCAGAACCAGAATCGCAAGGTCGGTGGAGAGATTCCGGTAACTATGATATGAACTTCCCTTGTAAGCCAAATCATTTTAAGGCAGAGTAAACTTTGTGATTATTGTTCATTGGCTGATATCAAATTTAATGGAGCATTCAATCTGTACTACAAGGCCGGATACAAGGAGATGTCTGCACCATAGATACTTATTCTTTATGCAGTATTCTCCATTGTACTTTCCAAATAATTGATTTGAAACAGAGATCAGGGCACATTACATCCAAAAACAATCAAAGCACATCAAAATTCATATGTAAGTGTTGCAATGTGCATGTGTCTATCAATATCATTAGCAATACACACTCACTTGGGATGTTCCAGAGAAGCTCCACTTCAAAGAATTTGTCGAAAGCCGTGGAATAATGATGGCTAAGACAGGCATTGTAGGCCTATATTTTGCAATCAGCCTGGGCAATTGAAAATTTAAAAATCAGTTGTTCCTAAAACTTACAATTTTATGCACCCAAATAGTCATGCAAGCGACTAAATAAAGTCATTGTAAGAATGGAAGGCAAAAAGAGGTGCGACAAAAGATCCAAGGGATTACCTGGCAGCTCTCCCTGATGATGTGAACACAACAATAACAGCCGCCTTTACTTTTATTGCAGTTTGTACCTATACAAAAGAATAAAGATACAAAAAGAGGACCAAAGGTTTAGAAAACAATGAATTCTACTAAATTTCTTTTCAAATTTGAGAATTACAAGCCTCTAAAACCCATCATTAAGTACTAATGAGCATACCGCCGATGAAGCAACTGATTCCGCATGACTCATTGGCTCTCCAACAAACTTGGATGTTCTTTTAAAAATAAGAGCTTGGTTGTAAACAATCTCAGCCTATAGAACAAATTTCTTTTTAGAACAGGAGCGGTGTTATCGGCAAAAACTTTGGCTATGGATTACAAGAAAATAGGAATATCTTTGAAAAAATAATGAAGCTTACTTCTGCACATATTCTGCCAACTGTTTTGATTGTCTCGACAGGATAGAGTCCCCGAAGAGTCTCGGCACCCAGTAAAATGCCATCCGTTCCTTGAAAAAAAATTTCACTCATTTCGTGAATTAAAACTTGAAGCAAAGATTTAAATGCAAGTCTACTCAACTACACAAAAAATCAATTGGACCGTTGGGAAAACCATAGTCCATTGGGTTGTCACCATGCATTTAGATCATTTAAGGTGATGGGGAAGTGGAACCTACTATGGAAATCTATTTTCTTCCAGTGGGAAGCATTCTACATCACCAAGGATGGAAGGTGATGGAGAGAGTTGGACCTATCCATTGGGGTTAGGTTCACTTCAGTGGATGATGATCACACTTTCATCCATTGTCCATCCAATTATTATATACTTTCCTAATAGATAACTGTAGCTCAAACAGTGCACTGATTACATACCATCAAGAACAGCATTTGCCACATCTGTGGCTTCAGCACGTGTTGGGCGTAGATTATCCGTCATACTATCCACCACTCTTGTAACAATTGCCAGCTTCCCAGCCATGTTGCACTTATAAACAGCAGATTTCTGGAACAAGAACACCTGCAATACAAAGAGTGGTTAGGCAGTTTCTAGTTCGCTCTTATAAAGTGGCTTCCAGTTTTTATGCAGGATCCTGTTGGAGAAGTGACATGATACTTCTCAATTATCATTCACAGACAAATTAGAAAAGGCACAAAGAATCAAAAACGAACCAGCCTCTACTCTGACCAGTCCAGACTAATAGCACCAATTTCGAAAAGTTGACCAGCCAGGCTATGCCTCTAATTCCAAGATTTTTATTTCATGAATTTAACCAAACATCAGGCTAACTACATAACAACCAACTGCAACAGCACAGAATACCTTTTCAGGGGGAAGGTCAATCCCCAGATTCCCACGTGAAATGATAATACCATCTGCTTCATTGAGGATCTCATCAAAATGCCTCAATCCCTGTTAAATAAATCAAAGCTAAAAATTCACCCCAATAAAGTTCCCTGGACAATAAAAGATATAATTAACTAGGGAATTTATTAGCTGTCAATGGATTATGACGTCACCAACACTAGGGGCGGCAACAGGTCAAATATGGGTCGGGTCCGACTGGACCCCGGGTCCAAAATTTGGACTCGGACCCAGACCCATCGTTTCGGGTCTGTTGGATCCATTGCCACCCTATGACTATGATTTATTTTATTTTTTTTGCCCTTTTTTGACCATCATATACCCTATGACTATGAGCTTTTTTTCTTTTTGCCAATAATACTGTAAATGTTGCTAATATTGTGACAATACATATACCTAGCACGTGCCTAAAAACACATGATTGTCATCATATACCCTATGACTATGGGTACAGATCAGGTCGGATCAGGCCCAGCTGGATCCGGACCCGACCTGAACAGTATTCGGGTCCAAAATTTGGACCCATCCTCGGACCCGAGGTCGGGTATACCCGTCGGGTCCCGGGTCTAGTCAGGTCCATTGCCACCCCAAACAAACATGAGGCATGACATCACCCACTGAAATACTTAATGCTTGTCACTTTTTGATGAACTCCAAAGTGGACGTTTGAATCTAAGACTCCTCCAGTATGATTTGACAAAAAATATTTCCACTTGTGCAAACGTTCAATTACCTCTACATTCTCAACTTTAGCAAAAATCTGGGTTTGTTGAAGGCTATGATTAGCAAGAAAAGCTCTAAGCTGCACAGTAACAACAAGAGGAGTCTCAGGTCAGCTCAAGGTCATAAGCAACTTACATAGCCACTAACATTGAAAAGAAGTTGATTGTGCATGAATCAGAAGCTAGAACATAAAATTATTGCCATATAATTGAAGGAATGAAGTACACTATGGATAGCAGAAGTAGAAGAAGCAGAACGTACCTCTCTCACATCCTCTGCATGGCGAGTATATGAAAGGGAAACAAAATCAACATTGTTATATGCTCCCCAAGTTGAGATAACCTGTAAAGTCGAAAATCCACGAAGCAAACAAACCAAATCAATATATCACATTAATAAGATGGATGTCAGCCAATATAAAATTTAGTTCAACCAAAAAACAAGTTCTTAAGCTTACAAGATAAAAGTTCAAATAAGAACATTTAATTTGGTGCTGCTATGAGGGAGATGAGGAACACATACGAGCTCAAGGGATCTAAAGAAAGAAAAGAGGTGTGTTATTCAAGAATGAAACTCATGACAGCTTTTTGATTTACTTCCTTTTAACAATTAAATTTCATCCTTTTATATAATCTATACCAAATCGAATGATAAGCATGGATCATCCCAAGAAATGAACTCATCCAAAAACTACAGCAGGTGTTCTTGTAATGTTTCAAAACGAACGAACTCCTCATATAATCACCTCAAATTATCAATTTCTTAATGTATCAAAACAATGCGAATTGCATGTAAAGAAACTCACCTGCTTATCATAGTCAGTCAGAGTTGGCAGATTAATGTGGACTTGGGAGACATGCATCGTAAAAATAAAGCCAGCAAGGGTAGCACTGTTCTTAATGAGGCAATTGACATCTTGCCCATTTGTATCAACCACCTGCATCCATTTCCTTAGACAATCAGAACATTCACGCTCCTGCATGCTAGATCAATTAACAATAGAAACAATCACCTCGAGCCAAACTGAGGTTGTCTCACTTCCTGTAAAGAGATATTGGCCAATAAATATAGTGTCACCTTTTTTCACTGTCTGCAATTCCAAACCAGAGGCTCCATCATTTCAGAGTTAGATTTGATAAACCATGCATGTAGTTAACCTCTTTCACATTGCAATAAAATATCATGTTAAATAGAAACTAATGGATTTGAAGTACAAGGTAGATCTCGTAGCAGATGTCATTTGATCTATCAACAGCCATTTAAGTGCTGTATGAACTCCCTAGGTATTCCACTCTGCATCCATTATATGCAAAAAGCTAGTCTAAAGTAGACCATTCCATGCAGTTAGAGCCAACTTTTAGTAATACAAAATAGAAAGCAAAAATGCCAACAGAGATTCTAGATTATGGTCCAACACATCTTCTAGAGCCTGATCTACTATGGCCGGAGTGCACATCAACAATTCATAGAATGACATGAAGTAAAGGCCCCAGTGGGAGACAATATGACTTCTATGATTCATCGCTATCCTCAATAGCTGTTAAGATCTTTGTCACGCAGCAGGATTTCTAGGAAGTACCTAAATTTTTCCACAAGTCAAAGGGAATAAAGCGCCCAAGACATGCACATAATTTGCATTCAATTTAGTGGATTAACAAAACTAAACATTATCCACATCATTATAGCATCAGAGGGACTCAACGAATAAATGCCCAAGTAACTTAGAGATTCTAAGAATCTCCCCTTGCTCAATAGTAACCCACAGTAAGAATCCCCCAACTACAATGAAAGCCAGAAAGGAAACACCAGAGAAAAAAAGAAAACTGAAACAGTTGCCTATCTGCTAGAAAGGCTAACAACCAGAATACACAAAAGAAAAGAAATCGCTTCTTAGCTGTACATTGAAAAAAAAAATTAGCACAGAGAATAAACAATAAAAGAAAGCATAAAAGAGGGTAGATACCTCTGCAAGGTCAGAATAATTAACAGGTAATACATCAGTTGAGGGTTCTATAGAAAGGTCTGGGGTAAGAGTGACATAGTCATCCTCTTTTAGGGCAATTGGATTTCCACTCTTATTGCATACTTTTAGCTCAGGACCTACAGTGTCCAGCATAACCTGTGAAAATCACCATATGGGAGAACGTAAAATTACAGCTCTCGTAAAGCATACCACAGTTATGATGATCTTAACCATATCATAGGCCTAACCACAAATTTACTTCATCCTCAAACTAGGAGAATTTGCATCACAGAATATTCAAGGAAAAGCAGTAGAACTATATTGGCACATACAAACGTCCTTTGAAAGTTGGTAAACTTTTACGATAAAATTCTATCAACTACATACACATTTGATATGGTAATAACTATGTTTGCACAGGTACCTTCTACACATTCGTAAACTTCAGAGCAATTGACACTATTATCTATTATGATCCCCATAACATTAATTCACATAAGTAAATAACACAGGCAATAAAAGGAGCACACATAAAACTTGGCATCACATTAATTTCACAAATGTAACTTACACATTCATTGGATCATGTGCAAATATTTATTGATCTCAACATGAACAAACTGTTCTTTAATGTTGTGAACTAACACAGTTCTGAAGTTTGTCCTCTACTGCATCATTTATTATGACACAAACTTAACTTTCAGTCTTTAACAATTTTTCTTTTGATAGAAGTGAGAAAAAAATCATTAGCAAAGACCATCTTAGAGCCTAAGAGTTACGAAGGGCACTCATTGCAGCCTATCAAAGTAGTAAAATGACATCAACCGTATACAAAGAAACAGCAAGGGTTTGGGTGCAAATTTGAAATAATAAGTACCGAAGTTATCCAATCAGAACCCAAAATGCTGATGAGTGCAGCATTTTGACAGAAAAATATTGGATTACTTGCTACCAGGATATCATCATGTTTGGGGACTGTCTTAATGTCCCATAATCCCATTTATGCATGCCCACTCCCCAAATAGGAAAACCTAGATATCTGCAAGAGGATTGCATCTACATTCCGAAAAGTATTTATGGATATGGGTATGGCTGCGGATGTTACAAACCGGTACAAGGTATTCTTTCAACTTAAAAACTAGGATACATTCACTAGAAGAGGTTGTTTCGATGCTCAAAAACTCTCAAATCAATCATCTTGATCTCAAGATGTATGGAAATGAGAAAAGGTGGATTTTAAGTCTTGGAATTATTGCATCTTGTAATGCATTTTTTGGACCGTCAATATTCAAGATTTTCAAGTGTTCATAGATCTGCCCGATCTACACTATTTGTAAAGCTTTAAATTTTATAATTAGAGATGAAAAAATATTTTCAAGCCGTCCCAAAGATTGCTCAAGCTGATATCTTTGATACTATTTGAAAGTACGTCTTACTTTGATTGTTTAGAGCCTCAGCCTTATACAGACCACACCCGTGTATGTGTGTGTATATGTGTGTGTGTGTGTGGGTGTGTGTTTGTATGTGCGCGCGTGCGTGTGTGTGTGTGTGGGAATGATCTTGTGTCATTGTAATATAACAAAACCACACTTCTAAAAAACCATGTTTGTGGCATTTTTTTACCCCAAATTTTCCACACACACGTAATCATCTCAATAATCAATCCCATAAAAATGAAATTCAATTTGCACGCTAGATATGGTCAAAATGAGTCCCCTCCAATAATGAATCTAGACCATTCAAAAAAGGATTGTAACCCGGTACTAGTCCCGCCTAAGCAGGGTCCCTGGCGGGATGCGCTAGAAACAATCCTAACTTTTGGCTTATGCACAAAGTAGCCACTCTCAGGACTCAAACCCGGCCTCTTACGCTAGCTACTCGAGCCTTTTACCATCACACCAAGTGACGGCCCCTTATTTGTTTGAATCTAAACCATTCATTTGATGAATTTTAAGATCTAGACTTTTATGAATTTAAAATAATTTTTTAATATTTAATTTAATGATGATAAATTTATCTAAAAAAATTAGAAGGAAAAAAATTCTTCTAAGACCTAGATCTAAGGATCTCACTAAAATCGATGGCCTATATTAATTGGATTAAAAAAATGCTTTCTAGAATGTGTTTTCAAATTTTTCTCTTTTGAGATTGTCCATTAGAATGAAAAGAGTATATATTTAAAGACAGAGGTCAAACAAATGACCCTAACATGGTTTTTGAAGATTGTTTCATCATATTACTACAAAACCGTTGCATGAAATAAGTCTCCATATGTGTGTGTGTTTGTGTGAGTGTGTTATGTAACAAGATGAGGAGCATGTTTGATTGAGAACTCAAAATGCTAGTGATGGCATCATGGAAGTATTATTGCACAAAACTTGCAAGAATCCATTGAACATGATATTCATACAAGAACCAATGGATCCAAGAATCCAATAATGTTAGAGTGAGGAACTATATGTGTGTTTGTCTTCATGTATGGGGCCGGTTTTAACGAGCCCGCTGACTCACATGTTGATATGCGTCCTCTCTCCATAATCCATTTTTTACATGGATTTCGAACCCAAATTTTTAGGGATCCATAGTCTCAAACATGGGGATCATTCATATGTACAAACAGTTAAATTTTAAAATCGTATTTTTTAAAAAAGAAATTAGACCATTAGTTTTCATTTTTTTTGTTTGGTCCCCTTTCTTGCATCCATCTTAGAGATGGATGTTTGATGCTCAGGGGACGTATGAGTCCCCTGACATGATTGATTGAGAAATCAAAATGCTGGTGACTGCAACGTGGATGTACTACACAAAGTTTGCAAAAATCCATTGGACTCATATTATCCATAAAAGAACTGACAGATCCAAAAATCTAGCAACGTTCACAAGTAATTGACTGTGGTAGATGTAGGAGATATTAGGATTTGCAGACTTGAGCTTGAGATGTGTGTCCCTTCTCCATGTTTAGATTTAAATAATGAAAATTTTAAAATTTCCAAGATGGTATTTAAATTTGAGTATGAGATGGTTGATCAGATTAATTTCCAAGAGTTTTACAAGTAAATTACTTAGATACTTTTCATCTGACCTACTTTGACAACTCGAACTTCCATTTAGTTTAGTGACACCTTTGCTTTATGACATGAGTACGTGTGTTTCTAACATGGGTATGGGATTTGAGATTTCTCATGCCATGAGGAAGAGGATCCAGCGACATGGCTATATTATGAAGAAACAACCAAATCTAATAGTGTTTTATTAGTATCCCATTTCATGATGAATAGAAAGAAAATCAAATATACCCCATTATAATTTAATTGACTCTTCCATGGAAATTTTCAAAGTTCACATATATCTACACAAAAAAAAAAAAAAAAAAAAAAAAACAGAAGAGACCAAGTCATTAAAATGATGTAATCACTTGCTAATAGACAACAAAAAATCCAAAAGGATCCATGTTAAAATACCAATATATGGCACCCAAATAGAAGAATCCATGCAAGATAGAGTGACATTGGCAAGACAATAAGAGCATGATCTTTCAATGGGCAAAGAAACATTGGGTCAGGCATAGAACTCACAGCACATAGCTTTTTTACGCGCTTCACTGCTGTCTTCAGATTGTTAAGAGTTTCCTGATGGTATTCAGCATCTAGCCAGGAAAAATCAAAACGGGCAACTGCCAAAAACAAACCACTCTTTGAACATTTTCACGTGCAAAGTCATGTTGCACATTCTAAAACACTATGCACATTTATCTTTTACTAGTAAACTATTTTGTCCAAATTTGAAATTTAAAAGCAAGTGGAACAGAAACATATCTTAAACCAACCTGACATTCCAGCCTTAAGGCATGTTTCAATCACGTCAACAGAACGTGACTGTGGTCCAAGTGTCCCAACAATTTTGGTTAATGATGACAAGAAGTTCTGCATGTAACACAGACAGTTACAGAACGAAAAGGCAGAATCACTTGAAAATTGAAAAAACTTTCTTAATAATCAAATTTGCTAACTTTGACATGCATTACGAATTTAAAATAGCTCATATTCAATAAGAACATAACAAATTGGGCAAGTTACTGAAGATATAGAAATGCAAATATTTGAGGAATACACCATCTCAAGCAACTAACAGGCGCCTCCTTAGTGGTCACTAACATTACCCTGATCTTCATTTTCTACAAAATCTTTTGATCAGTCAACTAATTCGAAAACACAATGCCAGACTTTCAAAGTTCATTAGAGATTGCCAGAATGTTTATCAGTGGCTCCAGAACCTCGGACATGGTTCCCCCACCCTAAATTTCAATGTAATAAAATTTGGAAAGGAACCAGAATACACATGAAGGTGAAGAGACTTTCAGGGAACTCTTAATCCTGGGGCTATGCAACACACAAATTGGCAGTAAAACCGCTCCAAACTTTAAAACACAAAGATGTCAGGACATAAACTGCTGCATGCCAACCAAATCAGTTGCATTAGGTTGTTAACCTTAAAAAACAATATTCAACTACTCTCATCTTCACGCATATGGGCCACTAATGTGTCATTAGCTTGCAGACTTTCCTCCATGTTAGCCATCTCTCAAAAGCTTTGAAATGGTATGGTAGGAACCAGCTTTTCATTAAATGTCTAACCAAATGCTCGTCATGAAAAGACAAACTTTGATGCGTGTTTCTTACTTGTGGTGACAAATTAGCTAACACAGGAGACATTGTTTAGCTGACAAAGCCAAATAAACTTCAACAATACCTAAAGAAATCAAAATTTCACTAACTAAAACTATCAATGAAGTGAAGAAAAATGTATTATTCCGATACTATGGACAAGACTTACTTCCCAAAGCAAATCTTGTGGGAAGCAAACATGGAAGCAGCCAATATTTCTCTGAAATTAGATTTGAAGCATTCCAGAGCCAAAGCATAACTACTTATGGGTCATGTAATCAATTCAACCATCGCTTCCTCCATCTCCTATGTCCTTTCACCAATTACCAAAAAAGAAGAGCCATCATGGTGCCAGTCATCTAATCATAAATACCAAGCCACCGAACTTGAATGCAGTGTTGATGACAGAAATTCCACTTGGGATTTCTCCATTTTCTTCCATGAGAACCATATACTACAAAAACAAAAAGGTACCCATCGAATTCGAAACTATAACAGAGACTAAACATAGAGCTCAGGCATATATTGCAAGCAAGGGATTATGGTTCAAGCCTTCTATGCCTTAGAAATATTTTCTTCTCCATTTCTTTCTATAATTAACATTCATTCTGAAAACAAAAGCAAAGTTTCCCAACACCCATTCATAACTTTAGCGAAAGAACCACAGCCATTAAATTTGACAATCAGTTTTTTATATGTATTGCAAGTATATTTATAATAAGATTGTTTTTAAGCTTAGTATACTTATGATAATGTCCAATTCAATTAGGGAAGTGTTAGTTGCATTTTGCGTACAAATAGGAGAATCTTTGGTGAGATGTGGTTGGCAAAAGTGGTTGAGATCATGGAGCAAATTAAATGTTTAGTAGGATTTTTAATCAAAGTTTGTGGGATAGAGAGGTTTGGGGCTTGAAAGCTAAGAAGAGCGCATCCTAAGAGATCACTTCACATAACCACTTGTGGAAGTGAGAGAGTATGTGATATTACATATTAGGGAGTCCAACGTGAACACACAGTCATACCCCTCCAAAAGCAGAAGCATTTATGCAGAGAGTGGTTACATATATGACAATTCAAATGGGTAACCATCTCCAAAGAGAAGGGATCTTTTGAACAAATATTTTACAAGGAAACAGGGGAAATGCTCGTATTCTCACTAGAGAACTAAGCTCCTCCTAGGTTTCTTTGATATCTTTCATGTGCTTCTTGATAGGGCTGTAATGGGGTAAGGTCAAACCAACCCACCAGGTCTGGGACCTGAACCAGGGGGAAGTGGATGCATATATATGTATGTGTGTGTGTGTATAACTAGGTCACAACAGGCTTGCGACCAACCTACCGAGTCCAGTTTCCAGGCCAAGAACTGGACCCAATTCAGGTTGACCCCGCGGACTGCTAGGTTGACCCGACCTGAATAGCAACCCTACTTCTTGAGACCAAGGGTCTTATTATTTCTCTTGGTCCAAGAATCTACCCTTTTCTAGTTGGGAGGTGAATCGTCTAGAAAGTTGCCTGGCCATAATTTTTGGAGAACTTAGAACAAGTACAATAAATGGATTTTCTTGGAATAACAGAAGTGGGAGGATGTGGACGAAGCGCAACACATCTTAGGCACTCGTAAATAGGCCTTAAAGGACTGAGAGATGAAGACTTGATGAGATAATGGCAGATTAATGTGAATTTCCTCATTAAGATGAGGGAAAGTGAACACTATTGGGTCAGAAACTGAACTTTAATAGGAATTCAGCCAATTAACAAGGCAACCAGCAATGCCATAAGTGGATGAATAAGGCATAACCAGGTTGTAGTGGGGATTCTAATTCCAAAACAAAAATGGAATAAGTGGATCGGTAAGGCATATCTAGGTCAAGGGAGCTGATTCTAAAGAGGTAGAGTTTGTAACCCAATCAGGTGTCACTTGATACATTTAAAGCCACTTGTAGGTACTTATATTTTACGATTTGCTAACACATTAATAAGCCATTCAAAAATCATAATAAAATTCTTTCCAAGTTAAAAACCAACATAGTCTCCGGGCTTAATTTCCATGATCCTAGTACACTAATTTATTTCTACTAAATAACACGTAAACCCAGACAAAAATTACATAAATGGATGCATCAATAGTCAAGACTCTGGTTATTTAAACCTTCTGATCAGGCTAGTACTCTGGTTATTTAACCTTTCTAATCAGACTAGTATTTTGATCCACAAAATCAATGCAAGACAAATTGCAGGATGCTGTTAAATAATGACAGCTTGACAGGTATTCAACACATATATTTTGTCTCTATGGATATCCACATTCAAAAGACTGATTGAAATTTAAAAAATACGATCAACCAACCAAATTAGTCTTGATATGGTATAGTCAGATAACTAAAAAAATTTACTTGTAAGATCACCCTTCACTGATTCGGTGTATTTCTAGCCCGAACTCAATAAATCATCAACTTCTTTTTACGATTTGCTTTAGGTACACACGGTCAGTATCCATGTTACAGAAATACTATAAGAAGCAAAGGTGCATCGAGACAAAGCAGAGAGAAAAAATTGAAAAGGAGAACATAACATATTCTCTCTAGAATACTCACAGGTTTAGAAGCAGTTAGAACAGAGCTTAGCCTCATAGGCTCCTCCAAAAGCAGATGCCCTCCCTGCATCCTCTCTCTCTCTCTCAAATCTATTGCAGTCCTTTCTCTCTCTACAATATCTGCCTACAAATGTTTCTCCCTTCCAGAGGTCCAACCCTCTTTTAGAAAGATGCCGTGGAACGTCCTCTCTTTCTATGTTAAAGTTATGGCTGCCGTTGCATTCCTCCTGTTTCTCTCTCTAGAACCCTTGCTTCCTCTCTCTAGAATCTCAGTTTCTCTCTCTAGAATGGAGAAAATGGCGGAAGTATTTATACGGACCGGTGAGCGGTTGTTAGGTGATAACTTTCGCCCCAAGAATCAGCCCGCGCTTTTGGTAAGTAGTTCTTCGCGCATGTGAAGGGACACGTGGAATAATTCTCGAACTGCCCTTCCGAATAAAGGCAAATACATGTCTTCTTTATTTTTGGTAATTATATATTTTCTTTCGCACCAGGAAAACGTGCTTTCAGGATTATTGGGAGAACATATAAATAAAATAAAATAAAAAAAGAGAAATGATCCTAGAGTCCCTTCGCACTGGGAAGACTAAAAAAATCACTATTAAATTTGTCATAAATGTAAGTTAAGTTTCACACTCATATAATAATTTTTTTAGAGATCCATATCAATTTTAATGATAATTCTTTTTTATTCTACACACATGAGTGGGAAAAAGTCTTATAGGATCGTTCTTTTAAAAAACAATTAGAGAAATTACCTTAAATATACTCTAATTTAAGCTAACGCGAAAAAAAACCCTCAAATTTTTGTTTATCTCGTTTGCACTTTTTTTTTTTTCGTTTTTTTTTTTACTAAAATCACCTTCACGGTACACATCTTACTGTAATAGTTATATGGTACTTACTTATAAAATTTTATACGGTACTTTCAGTACCGTATTTTATACGGTCCTTTAAGTATCGTAAACTTACACCAACTCTTATACAACATTTTAAGTACCGTAAACTTACATTAATCCTTATACAACATTTTAAGTACTGTAAACACTAACACATATTTTACGGTTCTTAAAATGCTGAAAACATTTTTCTCATTATATTTATCTCTTTCATCTCTAATTTTGTTTGGGGAAAGCTTTTTATGTTCCCCTATAACATATAAGTTCTATCCTCCCTTTATCCAACCGTCTATTTTTTAATGGAGGGCTAAGATTGCCCCAATCACAATCTCATGTTTCTACACTTTTTTATTTTTTTATTTTTTTGTTTATAAATTATTTTGACACCAAATTTTGGACATCCATTCCTCTATTAAATTTGCACTAATGAAAAATATAAAAAAAATTATTTTCAATAAAATAAAATGACCAAATACCCCTTAAAGTTTCAATGGGTACTTTGGTTATCATTTTTTATCGAAAATTTATTGTTAATATTTTTTATAGGTGTGCCCTATTGGGAAGATGGCACGTACCAAATTTCATATTCAGAAAATTGTATTAAAAAAACTAAAAATAAAATATTTGAGACGTCGGATTTAATATCGAACGGTGAGTGGCTCTCTTGATAAAAAATGGACGGCTAGATGGTAGGGAGAGGATAGAACTTCTACGTTGTATGGGAAACATATAAAGCTTTCCCTTCTGTTCATCTATTATTTTTCTCTCTAATTCTTTTTAATATTTATCTTTTATTTCTCTCTCTACTTCTTTTTTATCTCTTATTTCTCTCTCTACTTCTTTTTTATCTCTTCTTTCTCTCTCTACAATTTCATCATCATTTTCTTAGGGAGAGTAATGACTTCGGCTATGCAAAACATTGGACATAATCTATCTAAGGAAATGACGATGAGATTGTAGAGCGAGAAAAAAAAGATAAAAAAGAATTAGAGAGAAAAAGAAGAGATAAATATTAAAAATAATTAGAAAGAGAAAGAAAAGATAAACATAAAAATAAATAGAGATGAAATAGATAAATATAAATATAGTGAGAAAATGATTTACGGCATTTTAAGTGACGTATAAAATGAATTAGTTTTTACAGTACTTATAAATGTCGTATAACAGGTTTTAGTTATTACGATACTTAAAGTACCATAATTGGCTTTCATGGCCAGAGTTTTACGGTACTTAAAGTACCGTAATATTACTTAAGTTACTACGGCATTTAAAATACCATATAAAATGATATGTATTACGGTAGTAAGACTTCCATGAAGGTCATTTTAGTTTAAAAAAAAACAAAAAATGAGGAAACATGATGTAGACGAAGAAAGCAAAAGTATGGGTTTTTTTTCCAATTAAGCTTAAATTAAGAGAAAACTACAAAAAAACACCCTAAAATCGACTATCTATGCAACTTACTCACCTCAATCTTTTCTCACTTTTTTCCCAAACAACCTTTCCTCGCAAATAAACCCCCCAACCCAAAAATAGCATGAAATAAGACTAAACTAGTCTTGTTTGTTTTCACACAGCCTTCTCTCTCATACTTTCACATGTCCTTCGGCACTACAAACATGTTCTTCGGCATTCTGAATGTGTGCTCCGGCAATGCAGGTCTGAGCCGCAGCGCTCCGGCATTATGAGAACTCGCTTCGGTAGTGCAAAGACGTACTCCAGCAATGAAGTCTCTAGAGCCGCAACGCTCCGGCAATGGAGGACCGCGCTCCGGCAGTATAAACAAGAGCTCCGGCATTCTGAATATGCGCTCTGACAATGCAGGTCTGAGCCACAACACTCAGTCATTATGAGAACGCGCTTTGACAGTGCAAAGACGTGCTCCGGCAGTGCAAAGACGCGCTCCGGCAGTACGCTACTTGGGACTCGTGAATTTATTTGGTTTGTACGGGAAGGGCATTTTTGTCCAAAAAATAAAAACTTTTTACCTCGGGGTTTTTGCGAAGAAATGTTGTTTTGCGAAAAAAAGTGAGATAAAAGATTGGGGTGGGTAAGCTGCATAGATAGTCCATTTTAGAGTGTTTTTTGTAACTTTCTTTTAAATTAAGATATATTTGTGATAATTTTTCAAAAAAAACTATTCTTTAGATTTTTCGAAAGACAACAAATATTTTTATATAAAAAAATTATCTTATACGGCATCTTTTTACATTAATTGGGAACTTATTAATGTAAAAATATTCACACATGATGGCATCATATAACTTTTTTTTATGTGAAAATATTTTCTAAAAAACATTTCAACTCGAACGAAACGTGGAAAAAAAAAAAAAAAGTGCTCTCTTTTGAACGAAGAAAACAAGACAATTCTTTACAAAAATATTTTAAAAAACGGATCGTCTGAGAGCATCAGCCCTCCACTGTATCAACAGGTTATAGTGATTTGAATAGCCCAAAGTGGCAATCTTAGTTGAAAATGTAAAAAGAAAAAAAAAATAAGAAGAAGAAGAAGAAAACCTGCATGGGGCATCTTCCCTTTACCTACTATATTTAATTATTTAAAAGGAAAATTGTAGATACCCCATTTGTAGTTTTTAAGCATATTTTTTCTAATGGGTGCGGTTCGCATAGAGTCGAGGCTTTAAATAGTATCGAGAATTGTGGTTTGAACATTGAAAGGATTTGTGATAGTTTAAAAAATATTTTCATCTCTAATTATAAAATTGAATGCTTTAAAATTAGTGTAGATAAAACAGATCTATGAAAACTTGAAAATCTTGAAAATTGACGGTCGAAAATGCATTATAAGATCACTATTTTCAAAACAGAAAATCCATTTTTTTTGCTCATGTCCATGCATCTTGATGTTGAGATTATCAATTTGAAGATATTCGGACATCAAAACAACATCTTCTAGTGAATTTTTTAATGTAGGCTCTAAACAATCAGTTTAGAGCCTCGGCTTTATATAAACTTTTTCCTTTTCTAATACTTTTTTACAACACTATTAAACCCGATAATATTTTTCTTTGCAACCACCCCGCTAAGTAAAAAAATTATTATTTTTAGATAAAAATATCTCTCATTTTCACCTATGTTTCCAAAACATGATACCTAATATGTCTCAGTGGACACAAAAATGAGACGGTCCACTGCAAAAATGCATTGGACCAACACAAGTTGAATATAGACATGGTCCAACACAAAAAATATGACGAACCGGCTCTATACAAGTTGCGTCGGTCCGACCTATTTTGTGCGTTACCAGCTTAGTGAGTACAGCAAACGTGGCCAAAAAAAGGATATATTAACCTTAAAAAATGAACTTTTGTATTTGGGGGAGGTTTTTGATAGCAGGTGCATGCATGTAAAGTACAAGATGTTGGAAATTTACAATTTTTCCTTATTTAAATCATACATATAATAGAAGGGGAATAATGCATTTCAGAGTAATAAGGCTAATTCTTGGTCTTGAGCAGGAATTTGTTTAGTTACAAAATCCGATTCTGATCATCAATTCCTAAGAATAAAGATTTTTAGAGATATGGAGAAAAAGATGGAATATCATGCACTTTAGCATAAAAAAGTCACAATCGCCTCAAGTCACTAAATGTGAAATTAATTAATTAATGAGATGTCATTGTTGCACAATATTGAAGAAAAAATTTATTTGAACTTTATGTTGCCAATGGTGCATCTCCTGCTATTAATTTCACATCTATTGAAGTAAGTGGGGTAAAGATTTACATTGGTTGTCTACCTAATACAATTCACCTCCTTTATTTCGGCTTGGGACGAGTTAAAAGAAAGTTTAATGTCCTCACACTTATAAAACTATATTTTTTTATTTTATAGTGCAAATAAAGTTCAATTTTGATTTTCTTTTCTTTTTCTTTTTTATGATGAGTTTAGTCTATGCGTTAAAGAGCTTACATTGTTAAATACTCAAAATTGAGATCCTAAAAGTCCTGATGAAATAAATGGACCGTATACTTTTTAGAGAGGGAGTATAAAATCTTTTGACTTATAAATACTTACCTTTCATTTGGACTGTTGATGTGTTCGAAGTGCTGGATTCCCATCATGTTTACCCACTTAATTAAACTGTTCATTTTAGGGTTGGATGTGATATTTCAAGGGCGCTATAATTGATATATTGCTTCTAGGAGATGTTCATTTGAGACTTCTAGCGAAGGACGATGGTGTTTGACCGTGATACATAATTTTTTATGATATCCTCTCATTGACCAAGCTAAGAAGAGTACACTAAGCCCCAATATTCCTTTCTTCTGATTTTTTTTTTTTTTTTTTGTACGTTTAGACTTTTAAGTATGGGAGACAAAAAAAAGTATAAAAATGGGGAATTTCAATCACACTTTATCCCTTATTTTATAGGATAATGTTTATATAGAGCCGAGGCTCTGAACAAT